CTTGCGTGACGGCGCTTGGCAGCGTGCATGGGCGCTAATAGCTTTCGCTCGCTGCCTACGGCGGTCTAGGCGCCGTGAACGCCACCGAGCTCGTCGTGTCTACATCGCTCGTCATCGCCTTTCTGCTCGCCGTCAACGTCTGCGCGGCAACCCTTCATTTATCGCTCCAGCTTCGCCAATATCAGCTCAAATTCTTTCAGGATATACTCGCTTCCCTTTGGTGTCTTAGTAAGTACTACCTTACAAGTTATATTGATATATTTTAGATCCATACGCGCCGCGGCGCTATGCTTACTTCCTAAGTCTTTCATCAATGTTAGTTACAGTAAAATGTAAGATGTTCGTGCAATGCCGATGGGCCTCCAACTGCTTACAGTCTTCTTGATTATATGTTAAAGTGCTCGGGCTATAGTATACGCATACCGAAAGCCTCCTGCACGGTGCACGTAAGTACACGCAAGGAACTTGGGCGCCTATGATGTTGCGACGTGAACAAGGTCTCGGACGCCCTCCACTCTCATCTATATTTACTTCGATTATACAGCTGGGTTCATTAGCATGTCATATATTATCTAGAGGCTTTAATTTGCCTCCAGAGTCGGAGGATGAGCTGCTACAAGCCCACGCAGGTTCACGCAAGTTCACGCAAGTCACGCAGAGTCACGCTAACTTGGCGTCAAATTAACTTGTCCTGCCAAAACGCTAGTCCACGCAACGCTACGCTAGTTTTGTAAGGGCCACGCATGTAACTCAAGTTAAATTGTGAACCGTCATTTAGGCGGTGACCCAATGTCACGGCCTCGACAGCGCGATCATGGTCGATCGTGTTCTTCCGAGAAACGTCAAACATGCAAGTCGCCCGGGAGGCACAACACAGCCTCAACTACTAGTACTGTCGGAGTTCGTCCGCGACGCTACCCGCTCGACATTGCCTCCGAGGCCCGCATGGCCTGGAGCGTACCACCACAGGCTAACGTAGGCTGCGCCAGGGACGGCGTGTCAAGAAAACGCCGTCGAGAATATTGCGAACTACGGCAGCTCTAGCCTGCGATGTCGGACTGCCCCGCGCGCTCCCGAGCCAACCTTCCACGCATCAATGGCCTCTCCTCAAGTAGACGTCGCGAAATTTCGAAGGCCCTGTGGCTGACGTCTCCGTCGTGTCGAACTCCGGAGAGGTACAACTGCGCTGAGGCACGCCGCTCCAGACCCGATTCCTATTGTCGATACTGTCAGACAGCTGGACATACTCCTCAGGTACACGGCGACAGGGACCGGCTCTAGCGGACACCGAAGTTGCCCTCGCAAAGTGGAACGGCGGTGCCCCCGGGTCTTGCTCGTGCCATGCACTTGGAGTCCTCACGGGGCGGTTGGACTTAGTGTTGTGGACATACGTTCGCTTCCTGGGTCCCAATAAAAGGATCCCCGGCAGAACTGCACTACCCTCAGTCTCCTCCCAACACACTTCCTTCCCACCGCCTTTCTTCAACTCTTCCCCCCCCCCGCCACAAACCATGTCTACGATCACCGCTACCCTCACCGCGTCCTCTGAAGCCGTCTCCGAGTACAAGCTCATCCTTGAGAAATCGCTCAAGGACCACGAGGACATCGACGCCATCACCGAGCACTTTGCCGAGGCGCTGCAGAAGCCCGAGGTCAAAGAGCAGGCGATCAAAGACATCCGTAACCTCACCAAGACCATCAAGGAGATCAGGGCCGGCTTCGAGCACATCGCCGGCACCTTCGTCGGGTTCGACAGCGCGAAGTTCTTGGACAAGGAGAACAACGTTCTGCAGCTCGGAGGGACATGGCACGGATACTTCGAGGTTAGTGCACGCAGCTCTGAGCTTGGCTAGATGCTGACTTGTGCGCACCAGACATTCAATGTCATTGTGGAGGAAAGCTTTAAGAATGCGACCGCTGCCGCCGCGTTCATGAAGAGTTAGTACCGAATATCGAGTCTTGCGGACACGGGGCTCATAACACTACCATATCCAGTGTATAGCAACGCGCTTTTGACCGACGTCGACCAAGCGAGCTTGGGCGATCTTCAGATAGAGCTTCAGGCCTTCGTCGCGGTATGAGAGCGGCGCATATCACAACGGCCACTTTCTCATTACTGATGTCTCCCGTGTTCAGAAATTGGAGGCAAAGGCTCAGGACGCGCTGCGCACCCAGAACAACTTCGCCACCCTCGCTACGGACCTCCGTCTGTTCGAGTCCGTCGTCGAGGACGCCATCCGTAAGGCTGGCGCGCGGGTCGGAGATGACCTGACCGCTGCTCGAGCCCGCCTTTCTACGCTTCAGATCCAACTAGCCGAGTACGTTGACACGCCACCTCCTCTTGAAGACCATCGTTGCTGATTCAGTTTTGTAACCGTAGGGTGTCTAGCAAGGTTTGTCCCCTTCATAGCGGATCCGGGTGCATACTGACGCCCTCATAGATGTCCAGCATGGGGATTGCCTGCGTGTCATCGCTTGCTGTGGGCGCGGTCTCCGCTGGCATTGCTATCTTCACATTGTCTCCCGTGGCAATGTTCATGGCAGTGGTAAGTCAGACATTGTGTGTGACGATTTATGCTCACCTTACAGGGTCGTCTAGTCCTCAGTCATCAGCGCAGTTGGAACCGGCATCAAGTACGCTGAAGCAAAGAAGGAGGCCTCCAGTTCGTGCAATCCTTGCATTCTAGCGGGCTGCTTGCTAACCCTGATGTATAGGACTCGAGTCCGAGATCCAGGAATGCAACAACCAGATTGCGGAGCTCATGGCGAAGGAGGAGCTGCTCAACAAATACCGCCAGTCACTGGACGCCACGAAGAGGGACATCGAGGGCCTCGCCGGCAAGATCGACACCATTGCCGGCATTTGGCAATACGTACGCCCAGTGCTCCCTCGTCCAGGGAGAACCGCGTGACTGACTTATCTTCAGCTTAAGACCGACATGCTTCTGCTCAAGGAGCAGCTGGCTCTCTCTGTCGACCCCGACATGCCCATTACTAGGGTAAGTCACCGACCATTCTGCCTGTTACGACATTATCGCTAACCAGTGTCCTGCGACAGCGTTTCCTGAAGAAGATCGCAGCAACCCGGGAGCTCTACGTGAAACTTGGCACGCTGCTCGACATGTACGCCAAGGGTCAGGTGGAGGAGTTGTAGAGACCTAGTAGGGATTTTTTTCCCATCAGATTGGCTACGTATTGGATGGGCTTTTGTTCGCTGTTACTTGTAATTCTTGGTTGTACCTTTTCGCAGAGCAAACGGGTTTTGATAACGCGCTCTCTCGCCGACCACGCTTAGGCGGAGTTGAATGGGCTGATGTCAGTGACGCAGACTCAACCGATGACGCCAAAGTTGAAGAAGCCGACCATGAGGCTCGCCATGAGGGCGCTCATACACAGTGACAGCGTGTAGATCAGGCACCGTGATTAGAGCGCCAGCATTACTGTTGCGCGTAAACACTCATGTAAAGTTCCTGTACATGTATACCTATAATGTGTTAGTTGAGTGATTCAAAGGTGTTTGAAATTGTTTCCGCCGTGTGCGATCCTGCTTTCTTGAAGAGTTGCCCAATCGAGCGAATGGATTAGAGTTACGCGCACAGGCGCGTGCTCCACTGTCGAGCCTGCGCATCGTCGTGCTCGACGTCCTCGTTCCATCAACCGTCCCTTGTCTTTTTGGTCTCACCTTCGTTGCCTGGTACTCCTTGTTCTGATCATACACTCCCCGAATCGAGAAAACAAGAGCACAAGGTCAAGATCCAGAACAATAGCCGAAGATGAACACACGAGATAACGGCCCCGGTCGAGGCAAGCCATTCACGCCGGACAGGAGATGCCATGTACGTCCTCACCTCCGCATATATGCGCCCCTACATCCTGCTCCTTGAGCGCCATGCTAAGCAATTGAACAGTGGTTCGACAGCAATGGCCGGCCGTTCAAGCGTCTCGATGGCGGACTGGGCTGTCCGCGTGGCGGCAAGTGCTACTTCGCCCACCCCACGGACCTCGAGCACTGGCAAAAGGCAAAGCCTGGCGGAGAGCCTCCCCTGCACTACCTGACGGACGACGAATATCGCTTGATCATGGGCCGCCATCGTTCGCCCATGCGCAGTTTCCATCCCGGGCAACGTCCGCGCTCTCCCAGCCCCGGGCGTCGGCGGTCTCCCCCGCGCCGCTTCATCAGCCGCGAGCGCGAGATCCCGTCGCTGGCGTCGCGCATCCGCGGCCGCTCAGCAAGTCGCGAGCGAGAGGCCCGGCGGCTCGCCCCGCGCAACTCCAGGTCGAGGTCACCCGGGCGCGGACGGCTGCAGCGCGCCACGCCGCCGCCGCCCCGGGGCCCGCGTGTGTCTATGGGTGGGCCGCCGCCCGAAGGCCCGCGGGGAGGGAGCATGCGGAGCCCGGTCGTCTTTCCGAAGGCGGAGCCGGACGTAGCGATGCGGGATGCTACCAGGCCAGCGACGTACAGGAGAGAAGACAGTGTCGCGAGTTCACACCACCCTGCACAGCAGAATACCCCGTCAAGAACGCCCGCAAACCACGCCGGCCATACCACGGCACCAGCACAGACGCCTTCGGGAAATGCATCCTCCGTGGCGGCGTCCGCTGCCACCACCCAGTCTTCGCAACCCGATGCTATCAAAACTTTACTAGAATCCTCCGCCCTACAATGGGAACAGATCTCGTCAGCAGTCGCCGCCGCTTCATCTGTGCCGTCTACGAGGCCGAAGATGACGCCACCGTCCGGGGAGGGACTATCGGAGGATAGAGCGAAGATATGGTCGAACCGCATCGAGTGAGTGACATCTTTTACTAAGCCTGGCGTGCTCTAGAGGGCTATATTATGTTAGACTGCTCGCGGCCGCAACACGGGTGCACAACGAGTGCCGGTCTATGGAAAACGACGTACGGGACTACAAGCAGCTCGTCGAGTCATTCAGCTACCAATCGCTCCCGGCCGAGGACAGGACGGTCATCGAAGGGCACATGCATACATTGCAGGCGCAGCTCGCGGAGAAGTCCGAGGAAATGAAGAAGGCGCTGACGCAGCTCGCCGAGGCGCAGTACTGGACCACGTACGGGGACAGCTCGAGTACGGCGCCGCAGGTCGCGGGCCAGGAAATTACGAAGCATGTCCAGGGATTGAAGGTCTCCGTTTCGCAGCTGCAGTCGTTATTCACCACCGTCGGGACGCACTGGGAGTCGGTCGCGAAGTCTCTGCAGAGCAACCGGCTGTCGAATATCGGGAACCACGCTATGGATACGTCTGGGGCGCCGCAAGGAGTTGGCCAGTCGAACGCGCTCATCGCGGAGGTTATCGTGCCGAAGGAACTTGAGAAGATCAGAAACACTATCGCGTCATTCGACGTCCGTCTGAAGGCTGTGGAGAATGCGGCCGCGGAGAGCAGCGAGGTCGTCGGGGAACAGATCGACGCGCTCGTCGCAGAAAACGTCCAGGCGCTTATGCTCGCGGCTACTGGGTCCGTACAAGCGTCGCCGCCGCCTCCGCGTCCGGCGAACGCCTTGACCGCGCAACAGCGCAAGATGCTCGAGACACTACAGCAGAATGCTTCGGTAACGCAGCAACATGTCCAGCGACTATCGCAGAAGGTGACAGAAATGGCCACGGAGAATGAGCAGCTCCAGGGAGAGAACGCGCAACTCCACGCCGAAAACGTTCAGCTCAGGCAGCAGCTCAGCGAGGTGCGTCGGCTCGAATTATGCGTTGTTGTCGCTTACCTTGTGTCGTCAGTCGATGTCCATCCAACAACCTGCGGGCAGCGATTCTGCCAAACTGGATCAGATGCAGTCGGAAATGCGCGCCCTCAACGCCGCCGTGGTCGCTTATCTTGCTCAACGCCCGGCTTCAACTCCTACCTTGCCCTCCGCGGATATACTGGTCGAACAGGTCGCCGCGTCACTCCCGAGAGTAATCGTCCCGGAATTACAAGGCCTACGCGACCAAATACAAGAAACGCTTCGTACTCAGCAAACCCAATTCCTCAAGGAACTATCTTTCAATGTGTCGTCCACTCGTCAATCGGTCGAAGATATCCGCGCACTATTGGAGAAAATCCCGAACCAAGAAAGTACACCAACGGCCTCGGACTCGCCCATCAATGGAAATGAAATGAACGGAGAGGTTACGCAGGCAGAGCAGTGATGGGCGTAGCACGTTATTAGTCTTCCACCTATGCATTTTGGCGTCTTGGGAAGATCCTGTTCATGGTGTCGCGGCGCGCTCAGTACTTTATGACCTTACGTACTTATGTGTTCAGTACTGTTGTACGCGTTGCTCAGAGTCCCTCAATATGACCATATGTGCTTGTTGCAAACGGTATAGGTGCGATCGAGAAGCTCCATTCACACCCATATGAATACAATTTTGAGACGTCTGTGGCATATGCATGGAGCGTGCATACTACATAGTGCGCGGGAAGTAGATAGTGGCGGCAAGCGCACGGAGAGCAAAGAGGAGAGTGGCGAGATCAGGCAGAGACGATCACTGAATGGTGCATATGGTCGGTCAGCGGGTCGACGACGTCTCATACAGAGGGGAGCACGTACGAATTGGAGCGCAGCACCCTTCGTCTTCTTCTCACCACCGAGCTCGAAGCTGCGACGGGTGTCAACATTCGCGAGAGGGAAACGAGATGCGAAAAGACGTACTGCTTGCAGCGCTTCAGGGAAAGCTGCATCTTGTACTTGCAGACGGTGCACTCTAGCCGGAGAACGACCTTCTTCGTCGTCTTGGCCTAAACGTCCCGATCGACGGTAAATCTTCGCTCTCCTCGCTTGCTCTAGCACACGACGCACCTTCTTGTGGAAGACGGGCTTGGTCTGTCCACCGTAACCCGACTGCTTGCGGTCGTAACGGCGCTTCCCCTGCGCGGCCAACGAATCCTTGCCCTTCTTGTACTGGGTGACCTTGTGGGGGCTACGGGACGCCGGGATCGTTCATGCCTGCGCTCGTCTAGAGAAGTTCAAAGGGACTTACGTGTGCTTCCTGCACGTCTTGCCCTTGCAGTCTGCGAGCCGATATCAATACCTCCGTGCCAATTTATCTCTCCCAATTCCACTCACAGGTCCGGCGCGTCCTGCGTAGCGAGATCATAGGTCAGAACTTCGGCATATATACACCCAGGGAGCGCAACGTACTTGGGGATGTTGACCATGGCGGAAGTGTCGGCGGCGGCGTTGGCTGGCTAGATTTTGGCGTACGGCCGCTGTGAGTGATATCTGCACCTCCGACCGAAACGGCAAGCAGTTCCAGGGTTTAGGTTCAAACTCAGACAAGCCACCGAGGCACACACTGAGGCGCTCGAACAGGCGCTCATAATATAGACGCTCATGCACATCATGTTCGCTACAGCCGCGCGTGCTGGTGAACACGGAAATACATGGTTGTGTACTTGATATGACATGAAGATTCTGGCCCTCTCTTATACCCCAGTGTCAGTGTTCAAGGTATTAGCACGACGGCGATCCACAAGACAAGAGTTCTCTGACTATCGTAGCTATTTCGAGCCTCAAGGTATACATAACATAGAGATCATGGGTAGTCGTCAATAAGGGAGTACAAATAGAGCACCTACAAGAAGATAGAGCGATGCAGACACAGCAAGAGTAGGATAGCGATGGATGATACAGCACGTGTGGTGGAAAAATGAGGGGAATGGAGGACCGCATAACGAGAACGCGTCAGTCGTCTGACGCTGCCGCCTTGGCTTGTCGCTTGGCGGCTCGTTTGGCCTGCTTCTTCGCCTGAGCCTGCAATAGAGAGTTAGAAACATAGGGATGCGCGTAGTCCAGTCAATATGTACTCACTCGTGTTGAGCGCTTTTCCTCCTTGACTTCTTCCTCGTCCGGCTCCTCGTCGCCTGAGGACTCGTCGGACCGCCCCGCTTGCTTGCCGGGCGACGAGGTCGCCTTCTCCCCGTCCTCATCCTCATCATCCGACTGCTCAGGATCTGACTCTTCATCGTCAGAGTCGTCCATCTTGCGCTTCTTGGTCGGACGTGGACGCCTGTAAAGCAACTTGAGTACAGCGCCGACATAAGTGTTACAAAGGACGCACTTCGTAGAGCCGTTCGCCTTCGGCGCGGCCTTCCGCTTTACCGCTGGCTTACGCGCTGCGCGAGTCTTCTCCTGCTAAAGGTGACTATCAATGAACGGTCCCTACATGGTAGTGAAATGACGACTGACCTTCGCCTCCTGAGCCTGCTTAGACTGCTTCTCAGCCAGCCAAATTAGCGCCTCCTCCGGCAGATAAACTGTCTTCAAGATCTGGAAACAGAGGTGAACGGCTGTGGCGGGTAGAACACCTTTCACGACGGACCTGGTTGGCAGCCTCCGCGCTGGGCAGTGGCCGCAGGATATCTCCTGGTAGCCGAACCTTGCCCGGGTACGTCTCTAGATTCCAGGAGTGTGCCTTGGCGTGTGCCTTGATCAAGTGTTGCGCCAACTCTGCGCAAGCATACAAGTTCTGGCGAGAAGAGTACATGTGAGCTTGTGCGTAACGTGGCGGAGACAAGAAACAAACATCGCTGAAGGCCTGCGTCTCGGCGTCGCGCACCGTCTTCGACTTGAGCGCGAGGTGGTACAGCAGAGACACGTTCTCGTTGGAGGCGACGAGATCGAGGTAGAACTGGATGTACCTGTGGCGAGTAAGGATATGCATGTTGAGTGTACGAAGACATTGGACTTACTTCGCGATGTCAGGGAGGAACTCGTGCTCGATTCTGAAGTCGGGGTGATGTGCCATCAAGTGCAGTAGCCTAATGAACGTTGACTCGAAACGAGCCAGACGTGCACCTGAGGACACAATTATGAGTGTTGATCTTTCCTGTACGCGTTCCATGACTTACCCTTCGGCATAGCTCGTAGAGCGAACGAGACATATGCTTGCGCCTTGCTCTTCACGTCCGCCTCGGGGTCGTGAACAGACAAGAATGGCACGATGTTGTACTGTGGCGGCAACTTGCCCCTCGACAGCAGCGCGACCAGCTTGTCCAGGAAAGTCATCCGCACTTGATACACCGGATCCTGGATTAGATCCGTTTAGCCAACCGGAATGATCGCCCAAAGCCTGGGTACAAGGCTCACCTGAATCGTAAGCGCGATCTGCACAAAGTACTTCGTCACCTCCGGCACATACGTTGACACCGCTGACAGGTGTAGCATGGACGTCGCGGCCTGCAATCGCAACCGTGATTTCGTTGACGCGGTTTCCTGCGCGTCCGCTCTGAACCGGCCCTCGTATTGCAGTACCGTCGAGAACATGCGGATCACCGGCGCCGCGATCTCGCGCGCGGTCTCGGACTCCGCGTGCGCGAGGCAGCGGTTCCTGCACACTTTTAGCGCGAGCACCTTGGCACGAAGCGGCGGCGACGGGTCGTCGACCCAGTCCTCCTCAGGTCGCATCTGTGGACGTGTAAATCGCTATCAGGAAATAGGCAGTCCGAGCGAGACGCTTACCGGCTCGTCTTCGGGGTCAGCAGATGATGTGAGGACCTGCTTCACTAAGAAGGCGGTGACCACGTCGCTCTTCTGTTCGAACGCGTCGGGTGCTCGGAGCGCCAGCTGCGCCAGCACCGCGATGTGCGCGACCAACTTATCAGAATCCACGTCCTCCAAACTGTCCGCTATTGACTGCATGATGTCGTCAGCACTGTTAACGCCTCAAGGCAGAGCAGCGAACTCACGTCGACGACCTGCGCGCACAGTTCCTCCGCATTCCGCATGCACGCAATCAACCGCGCCGCGAACTTTGCGTGCCGTGGGTGTGATTCCATAACGAACCGCATCACCCGCTCGACCGTACGTCTGCCCACCAGAAAATCAAGGGTCAACACCCTCGCAGCACAACGAAACCAAAACATCACGCCACACGCACTTGTCAGTCGGAGCCAGCTTCTCGTCCCACGCGGCTGCGGCTGCGAGCGCGTGCAGGCATGCCTCGACAAGCCGCGCGTTGCGCTCGTCTGCGATCGCCTTCGAGAACTCGCCGATGTGCGCCTTGTACAGCGCCGGGCAGTGCTTCGAGATATGCGTCAGCCAGAGCTGGGCGGAGTGCGCGGCATGCTGTGCACGGCCTTCGGGTTCGCTCGACCCCGCGCCTGTGCTCCCGACGAACATCGAGAATGTCTGGCCAAGCGTTTGAGTTTGGGTTTGCGAGTAGGCGACGGCGGACGGCTCGAAGCCCTTCTGCACGCGCTTGATGAACGTGGGGACGGCGGAGGGGTTGACAAGGTGGAGTGTGCAACGTCGGAGGAATATTGACATGGTGTTGACAATGGCGGAGGAGGATTGCTCAAGACGACGCAAGAACTCGCTCTGGGAAATGCTTCAGCTATCAGTAGATATGGACGAATGATAGGATAGCGTACTCGGGCTTTGACCAGGCCCTTTAGGTCTGTTTGGATGTCCATACATGTCTTCAGCAGCTTGTACAGTCGGCCTTCGTTGAGCTTCGCAAAGGCCTGTAGGTCCTCTGAAGCCTTGTGGGGATCTGGGAATAATGCTAGGGCCCACAATTAGAAGCGCGGCGATGGGAAATATGTGTATAGCTTACATGCAGCGGCTTTCACAGAGGCGTTCAACCGCTCCGTGATTGCTTCTTCCTCCTCCGCTTCATCGATCACACCACCCTACAACGAGTTGAGCTCCGCGATACAACACCAGGCGTGAATAGACTCACGTTGTAATCAACGCATGTGTTCACAAACTTCTCGTACACGGTTGGTCGGCTACGGCGTTGTTAATCTCGGACGTGCTGGAACGGAGTAAAATGTACACTGACCTGCCCTTCAGATTGGCGAAGTTGAAAAGCGTGTTGATCGAGACTTCGTCGAGGTAGCGCATCGTGAGAAGGAGCCTGTCTGTCCATGCGACCTCGTCGATCTCGGCACCCCTTGACGACGAGGACGAAGGCAAAGTTGGCAGTGGGAGGATGTACTCCGTGAGTGTCTGCTCTGCAATTGCCCTTTGTTGCGGAATTGTTAGCGGCTATGAATGTGAAGAAACGAAGTGCAAGACTCACTTGACCTCACGGCTGACCGAGGCATTCCGTAAGACTGTTCCTGGTATCCAGGCGAACTGCTGGATCGCAGCGGGGTCGTTGTTCTCACTAAGCTGCCGTCAGATTCGGGACCATCACCCAGGTTGTATTGCACCTACATTTCCGGATATGCGAGACTATACAGCCGTCCTACTGCGTTGAAAGCCTCGACGCGGACGCTGTGCTAGAGGGGCAGGTGAGCGAGGGTATCGGACAGGCGCAATATCCAGCTTACCTTCTTGTCGAGGCCACGTCCAGCCATACCCTTCAGAACGTCAACGGAGAGGTGGTGCAGCGCCGCTTCGTAGTCAAGCTGCGAGAACAACTTGCACAGCGCAGCACGGAACTTCTCGTCTGGGTCATACAGCTTCCCTAGCAGGGCCTCTATACTCGATGTTATGAGCCCTCTCTGCCCTCGCATATGCGCAATACTCACCTTCCGTTTCTTTGCGCATCTCCGGAAGGTTCGTGATAATGCCCTTCATAGTGCCTACCCATTCCAACCGGATCGTGACGTTCTTGTCGTTCCTGCGCGAGAGCCATTGCGCCCATGTCGTAGGGTACTTGTGCACAAGGTCCATCCCGTGTTTGTCCGCGAACATCTCGCCCAGCGTTTGTGTGGCCATAATCCGTAGCTGCAGCTGTTCTACGCGGAGCTCCTCCTCAAGCTGAGGTACGACGTTGTGCAGCAACGATGGACACGCGCGGTTGAGCTGCACGATGAGGTTATGCGCAGTCTGCACTTCTTCAAAGCGCTCCTCGCGCGCCTGGTCGACGATGATATCCGTGAAGTACTGACACACGTGCCGCTGCAACTTGTCGGCCGTCGCGTTGCACACTTGAACCGCGAGGCGGTATGCAGGCTGGTCCATTTTCTGCCAAGAGGATGAGCCGTCAGTATCCACATAACAAGGACAGCGCGCCCTGTCGCCTCGCAATTGTGCGGCAGGACCCGTTTCTAGCCACAGCACCAATCACGCATTGACCACACGCGACCTGAGACTCACCGCGTGTTTGTCCATAAACTGGGCCATGATAATCTCGAGCACCTCAGACGGCAGGCTCTGGCACTCATCTATGAGCGCGATGAGGATGTCGGCCATAAACAGCTCGATTTTCTTCGCGAGGTCGCGGCGGACGAGACCAAAGAAGTCGCGGAAGATGTCGACCATGAGATCGTCGCCATTAGGGAGGTCGCAGACAAGGACGACGCTCTTGACGGTAGAGAGAGATTCGAGGAGGTGGAAGTATTCGTTGTAGTAGGGGGAGTCGGGACCCTTCAGTCCGGCGGTAAGCTGCCGGAAGAAGAACTGGAAGATATCGCGGAGTTCTGCCTGAGTGTAGGGCGCGTCTGGCGCGTAGAGGCGGAGGAGATCGGCAAGGCAGCACGCGGTGTACGCTTTCACACCGCGGTCCTTGTGGAGGAGGATGGTGGGGTTGATGAGCTCTTTGCGGACGGAGTGAAGGGAGGGGACATCGACGTGCTCCTGGTCCATGTCCGCGAGTTCCTGGTGAAGCGCTTTGAGTTTCTTCTGGAGCGCATCTGTCGCGAGACCCTTGCCGACGAGCTTGTCGCGGAACTTGAGCTTGAGCTTCTTGGTGGGCGAGGACTGGCCCTGCGTCCGTGTCTGGGCAACCATCCTCGAGGGTCGGTGGTGGCAAGTGATCGAGTGCACAAGACTCGGATCCGTTCTCCACACGGCGCGTCGCGCGTTGTTGATGTCTATTTGTTCACGCGCTCCCGCCACCCCCCGCGCCGTTAGGCGCCCAAAGCATTATACACAGGCCGCGCTGCAGTGGTGGCTGCTTTCCTCGTCTCCGCCTCTGCTTTCGCATTCGTCGCTTTTGCTCTTGCTTTCATCTTCGTGCTCGCCATGCCACCCGCAGGCATCCCCGCTTCACGAGCGCTGCCGTCCAGGGAGTCTGGGCTTTTCAAGGAGGTCCTCCACTACTACGAGGACAGGCAGCTCAAGAAAGGTCTCAAGGCTGCAGACACTATCCTCAAAAAGTTCCCCAACCATGGCGGTGTGTCTCGCGCCCCTTCTGGCTAGTCGACGCTCATGGTCCTCCAGAAACGCTCTGTATGAAGGGTCTCATCCTGACCCACATGGGTCGCCGCGACGAGGGTCTTGAGCTGGTCAAGCAGGGTGTCCGCTATGACCTCACCTCCCATATATGCTGGCACGTCTTTGGCCTCATCCAGAAAGGCCAGAAGAATTACGACGAGGCTCTCAAGTCCTACACCCAGGCACTTCGCTTCGACAAGGTGAGTCGAACGCTGATTGCATCCGTATACGCGTCCGGCGCCTTCACCGATCACCTCTATGGGATCGGCGAAGTCATCCAAAAGGCTGCTCGATGTCTGCATGCGGTAGAGTTACTCCCAGTTGAACTTAGGTGGTTGGAAATACCTTGCTTCCTCAGTTTGGAAGCCAGAGCCCATTCTAGGCCTCTGAGAGTCACTGCATGTCAGATATACAGAAGCCATAAATTTATGATCGCGCACTGTAACAAACATAGCTGCATTCGCGTGGTCGTCCGTGGTCGTGCGCAGCGCCTCCTTCACACATACGGTGCCTGGACATACGGTGCCGACATGATGCAAATTTTGTGCATATACGGACCATGCGGCTACACAAAGACAATTTGATTTACTACAGATATGCTGACAGGTTTCGCCCTCAGGAAAACATGAACATACTCCGCGATGCGGCCCATTTGCAGACACAGCTGCGACACTATGATGCGCTGGTCGAGACTCGCCACACACTCCTCCGCCTGCGTCCCCAGCTGCGACAAAACTGGATCGCGCTTGCTGTTGCATACCATCTGAGCGGGAATATCCTAGAAGCCAAGAATGTGCTCGAGCAGTTCGAGCGGATAGTCAAGGTATGCCGTTTGCTCGATGCCGCGGAGCATTGTGTAGATGCTCACTTCATGCGTAGAATGTGCCGGACTACGACGTTGAGATGTCTGAGGTCCTGCTTTATCATGTACGCGTCCTTGAAGAGCTCGGCGAACATACGGAGGCGCTTGGGCTTCTAGATACCAGTGCCAAGTCGCGCGCCATCATTGACCGCGTTGCGATCATGGAGTTCCGAGGTGAGCCCCAGCGGACTTCGCAGTCAGGTAGGTGCAGATGCTCATGCAGACACATCTCAGCGCGGTTACTTTCGAAGCTGGGCAGTTCGGAAGCGCAACAGGCCTGGCAAGGCTTGATTGAGCAGAACGCGGACTCATATGATTACTACAAGGGCTTCCTCTCGAATAACGGCATTGACATCGGTGGGTTGCATCCACTCCTCCATGTATATACACCTAATGTGTATGCAGACGCGCTCACGGATGAGACCCGGAGCAAAGCCCTGAAGACTCTCCGTGATTTCTCTGAGCAATTTACCCGCGCTGCTGCTCCTTTACGTCTTGCGCTGACCGTTGCTACGGGTACGTCTACACCTCCTACCCAACCACCCGCATGATTCACAGCGAGCGCTCACCTCCGCACAGGGGACGAGTTCAAGGAGCTCGTCGAGCCTTATCTCCGCACGCGCCTCGAGAAAGGCGTTCCCTCATTATTCACTGACCTCAAGGCGCTCTATCGCAGCCCAGAGAAGCGGGACACGCTTGAGGCCGTAGCGCACACACTTCTTGACTCACTTGCACACGCGCCCGACGCGCCGTGCCCATCGACCATCGACCCAACGATGTATGTGTGGACGCTTTATTTCCTCGCGCAGCACCACTCGCACTTGGGACAGCACGAGAAGGCACTGGAGCTTCTGGACGCGGCAATCGCGCATACACCTACCCTACCTGAGCTGTACATGTTCCGTGGTCGCGTGCTCAAGCGTTGCGGAGATCCATTCGGAGCGGCGAGGTGGGTAGACCAAGCGCGACTGCTGGATTTGCAGGACCGGTTCCTCAACGCGCGATGTGGGAAGTACCGGTTGAGGGCGGGGCTTGTCGAGGAGGCTGTCGAGGTCTTCGGCTTGTTTACCAAGGTACGGCGTGAGAGATCCACGAACGTCTTCGAGTGCGTTGCGCTCACAAAGACGGGCGTTTTCTAGAAGGATGCGCCGAGCCCTTCACAGGATCTCGAGGACATGCAGTCACTGTTGTACCTCACGGAGGAGGCGGACGCGCAGCTGCGCAACGGTAACTACGCCATGGCACTGAAGAAGTACACGGCGATCCAGAAAGTGTGTCCGCCTGTACCATGGTGTGGCATTTCGGGACTTACTTCTGTGTTGTCGCGGTGTCACTCTAGGTCTTTGATGACTTCGAGGATGACCAGTACGACTTCCACGGCTACTCCGTGCGAAAGTTCACCGTCAACATCTACCTGAAGTAAGTGCTACCCATCAATTCCTTTGTAATGTGAATGGTGTGCTTACCTTGCTGTATTGTAAAGCCTGCTGAAGTGGGAGGACACTCTGCGATCGCATCCCCAATACGTTCATGCCGCGATCGAAGCGTCCCGCGTAAGTCAACTGTCTTCCTTCTCACACCGAATGGTGGTATCAATGAGCCCCAAAGATACTCGTCAGGTTGCATGACGATCCCACAATCGCCACTTCCGCTTCTCAAAGTCAGTGCAGCTATACCCATGACAAGACACGCCGAGTCGCTGATCATATTTCACAGCGCTCTCGGATGCAGAGAAGAAGGCGAAGAAAAAGGCGAAGAAGGCTGAGAAGAAGGTGCAAGAGGAAGCTAAGAAAAGTATGAGTCGCTACGTTTATGAATGCCTGATATATCGTTCTCACCTTAGTCCCCTGCCCAGCTCCTGGTACGGCTACGAACGAGGATAAGGGCCTCGACGCAAGCCCACCGAAGGATGATGACCCTGACGGGAGCAAGCTCCTGCAGGCACCCGAACCTCTTGAGCGTGCCGCTAAATGGCTTAAGCCGCTCAGTACGCTGGCAGCGAATAACGTCGAGGCGTGGATTGCGATCTATGATGTTGCGATACGACGAAGTAAGTGTCTGCTGCGTACTCGTGTGCGGGGGCCGCCATTGATCTAGGCGCCTTCAGAGAAGTACACCCAAGCATTGCAGGCTCTCACCCACGCGCATAGTCTGAGTGCGGACTCGCCACAATTGCATGTCCGGCTAGTCGACTTCAAGAAGCGATGTAAGAAGCGGTTTCCAATGCTCTACGCTTGATACCGGTGCTTACTCAAAACTTGTTGCAGGGTCATCACTGACTGAGAAGCCGTCAGAGAACGTCGCAGTCGCAGTGTCGCCGTTGCTCTCGAAGCTCGTGCCGGACGAAGTGTCCCTCGAGCTCTTCAACTCGCAATATCTCCAAACCCACTCGTCTCGCGGAGATGCGATTCTCGCTGCCGCGCAGGTGTCGCGTATACTGGATGCGCCGCGAGAAGAGGTAGAGGGTGCTGTCTTTAGCGCACTAAACGCCGACGTCGAGCTCAGGCTGGAGGTATGCTTGTCCCTTTGAACTATGCGCGACGAGCCATCGGATGCTGATCACACTCACGCTTTGCAGACCGCTGTTGCCATCGACTCCTTCCTGTTGGAAATCAAGTCTCCTCGTGTGGACGAGTTCCGGGCAGGGTGCCAGCCACGGTTCGGGCTCGCAACCCTGTTTGCCCCGCGCGCGGAGCTGCCTGAGCTGCGTAAGAGCGCAATTCAGCGTGCCATTGCGGAGACGAATGCGGAGAAGGACGAGGTCATTAGCTGAGGGACCTACATCTGCTTCTGCTGTGTACATATTGCCACGTACATAGATCGTGTCGCATTCTAGTGTAGCTCTAGCAACACCAGTGCTTTGAATATCTGCTATGTTATGAAAGCCCCGCGAGGACTCACGTCAAACCGTTCACGACCGTCCTGCTTCCTGGCTAACAACGAGCCTACTATTGAACGTCTAGATTATACAAAGACTATGGAGCGACAGCCGCGATCCAGTCGACGTTGATGAGATGATGTATGTATGAGCGGCGCACGTGAGGTGGAGGTATGTATGATCGATAGCAATAAGAAAAGCGGGGGTCAGCGACGAATAGGCATTCAGCCGTAGTTCAGGCCTCCACTACCACCTCCGCCACCGCCGTTGTATCTGTCGCCGTGTCGCTGGTCACGCGGCGGCCCGGAGGATCTGCCCATCGACATGGGCATAGACGGACGGGGTGGCAGGTGCGGCACCGGGCGCGCAAAGGGCGGCGGTGGCAACGGCTGTGCCATAGCAATGGGCATAATTTGGGGCGGGGGCTGGCCGGGGCGGAGAGAGATAGGAGGAAGGGTCGGAGGTGGAACGATCGCATGGCCGTAAGGTGGGTATGGAGCGGGCGGGAGAGGGAGGTATAGGGCAGAGGGAATGCCGGCTCCGGGCGGGGGGTAGCGCGGAGGTCCGTTGCGGAAGTTCTCTCGAGGGGGCGGGGGCCGGCCCCCGTGGTGGATGGCCCCAGTGGGCGGAGGAAGGTGCCTTGGCGGGCCGTCAGCGGGATGGGGCATGGGAGGCCCAGGAGGTGGTTGATGGCGGCGGCCACGTTTGTCGAACTCATGAGACGCTTCATACGTAGGCAGTCTATAGACAGACGGATTGTCAGAATGTAAGTTGGTGTCAGTATACAAGCATTGACCAAAAATGACCAGAGTTACTGACGTCTTTGGATCAGCTGGCAGAGGGTCAGTCCAGAAGTAGTCATGATCAAGTGCTTGGGAAGCCGTCAGGCGCTCCTTCGGGTTGCACACGAGTAGCTTATCCAAGAGATCGACAGTCTCGGGACCGATGCTACGCCAAAGCGTCAGGATATAGCATGATGAGAAGGTGAGAGTCACGAACGATTCGTAAGTCTGCCTTAGCCGTCGCGCGTGGTTACCGAAGGGCTTGATGCCTTCGCACCCCGGCAGAGACTCATACTCAGGCCAGCTTTCTCGTGAGGGCGAGCCGCACAAATGCCAGATCTTGTCCAACTGGTCCAGGTCGGAGGAACCAGGGAGAATGGGCTTACGGAAGAACATCTCGCCTAGGACGCAGCTGGAATACGTGTCAGCGAACTCGACTTACCCAAAGGCTATGAACGCCTTGTTTCGACTTACCCTACGCCCCAAAGGTCGACCTCACCGCCGTACTGGCGCGCGCCCAGAAGGAGCTCGGGTGGACGGTACCAACGGGTGACGACGCAGTTAGTGTACTTGCGTTCACGGCCCCGCGCGTCTTGCTTCCTTAGGACGATTGAAGGGTCAAACGCACGCGCGAGACCGAAATCTGCGATCTTCAAGCAACCGTCGTTGGAGATGAGTAAGTTGGCCGCTTTCATATCACGGTGAAGGATATGGTTCTGGAAGAGTTGTGGGCGCCAGCTCGCGCGACAAAGATTCACAGAAGCATACCCGATGCATATATTCCGTTCCCTCTAGGAGCTGCTTCATGTAGAGCTTTATCTGGCTGGGGGAGAGCTTGACCCGCTCATTCTCTAGCAAACCAGCCAGGTCATGGTCCATGTACGGGAACACCATGTACACCGAGAGAGGCGATTCCTTGCCATGACCTGCGTACACCATGTCAGTAAGTCCAATAGTACACGCCGCCGCCCGTCAACTGGCATGCCATGAACAGAAAATGAAGTGCGTACTTCTCACAACAAACATGTCAAGGATGTCCACAATACAAGGATGCTTGAGCGCTTTTAGGATCTTGATTTCACGCAGAGCGGTGACTGGCATGCCCTCCTTTTCGTTGTGCATCAGGATACGCTTCAGGGCAACAGTATGCCCTTTCTCGCGGTGTATGGCTTTGTGCACCTCTCTGTCGGAGAATGAGTGGTTATTCTGGCTGCGAAGCCTTTCGTGAGATGTGTGGGACATGGGACGTACCCGAACGTTCCTTCGCCCAACTTGGTCAAGACTGCATAGTCACTCTGCTGGCCACAGCCCTCAAAGCTACGTCCATACGCATCTACATCTTCTTCCCGGGTTCTACGTACAGGCTTGCGCCTAGGTCGACGGATGGCGGGCTTGACTATAGTGGTGTCTTTGTTCGAATCTTGCCGAGGCGCCTCCGAGGGAGCGTCACGAATCTCGGATTCCCGCCTGGGGAGAGCAGAAGCAAGTGTTCGTGGGGTGTGGGCATTGATAGGTGTCGGGGGTCTAGGAGGGAGCGACGCGGCGCCAGAGGGTGGCGGAAGACGGGAAAGTGGCGGAGGTGTGTTCGTCCGTTCCGTAGCTCCGTCAAGTCGAGGAGTCGTCCTTGGGGATATCAGACGTGTCTCTATCAGTCGCGGTGAAGGAGACTGCGGCGCGTATGTAGGGGAGTTCGCGTGAGCATGGTTGCGGCCGCTGGATTCATCACCCCAACGCCTGTCTTGTTCACGATCACTGCGGCCATCCCGACTGTCATCGTAACGGCCATTGACAGAGTCGCGTCGGCGAGACCAGCTTGAGTCACCGTCTTTCCACCTTTCCTGGTCATAGGCTCGCCGGAAGGTACTCGGAGGATCCGGAAGAACGGGACGGGGCGGCGGAAGCCTGTGCTTCTCCTTTTGAGAGGTAGGGGTCAGCGGCGACCTGGACCGCGTTGAAGATGGCGAGCGGGAGGGTGGTCTTCTTTCAGCATGACGAGGGGGTGATGGCGAACGGTAGGGTCTCCGCTCCGAATCGCGGGAGTACTGTCTGGATTCGGGCACATAGCTCTGGCCCTCTCGCCGCGAGCGTCCATATCGATCCGGAGCAGGTTCCCAACGGTCAGCAGCCCATGACCGTCCATAGCGGTCGTCCGCAGGGCGGGGAGGCAGTCCAAATGCTTGCCTGTGCGCGTCGTCCTCCCGATGTCTCCGCTCATCATCACGCGCCGCCGACCGGTCTCTCCCCGATCCGTTATGAGAGCTCGAACCATTCTCTGGTGCGTTCGTCTTCTTCTTGAAGGGGAAGGGGACCTTCGCGACAGGCTTGGAGGGTACTTTAGCAGGCGAGGGAGATTTAGCCACCGGCGGGGGCGGGGGCGTCGCGTCTTCGAGTTCGCCTTCCTCGGGAGACGAGGTCGCCTGGCGTTTGCTGGGTCTATCTCTCTCCGGAGTCGTCGACGCCGGCCGCTTGGGCAGCGAGGAGAGCATGGCAGAAGTGCACGACGAAGCGTCGGCAGTGGAGGATGTCAGAGAGCAGAGGACGGTCGCACCAATCCCAGCAGCCACAACCATAGGCGGGGTACGTGTTATGTAATCATCCGTACGCGAGATATTCCCAAAAGGGAAAGTCAGTACGTTAGGCAGAATCGGCGCCTAGTGGTATGAGTACTAGGCACATCGGGTCGATGCCTCGGCTTCGAGACAGCTCGTCAAGTACTCGTACATAAGCATGTGCATCCTCGTGGGTTACATATGCGAGCCCTATGTGCTGGCTTCGGCTCCTTCCTGATACCACAGGGCCATCCCCGTCTTCTCCTCGTAGTACTTCAATGCCTCGAGAACTTTTGGGAGGGTAAGATACTTATTGACATTGAGCATCTGAGTGCGCAACTTGAGTTTCGGGCGTATGATGGAGGTAGCAAAGTCACTGACCAGTAAGAATGCTCTGAGAGCTCTCCAACCCGCGGCCTTGTGGATGAACTTCCAGTGTCGTTCGAGGAAGCTTATGACGCCATCAAAGTAGTCGTTGAAGATGAATGCAGTCCTACGAACAGGGTTGAGTCAAATAGTAAATGTTCCGCTGTAAATGAACTTACTTGTGAAGCATAATCCACCTGTTCCACAAAGCGAGCATCACCTTGTCCTCGTCACGCACGTCGTCCATCTCGAACAGCTCCTCTTCTCTGTCCACGATAGCCCATGACATCAGCCCGAACTCGTCCAGCGACAGTTCGTTGAGCAAATCATAGATTCGAGGTCCGCCAATACGGCACGAGTACACCTCCTGGCCATCGGCATTGGTTTGTGGCAAAAAGGGGTACTGAGCGGCAGGACCGAGCGGATCCGTAGGTGGCGGAGGGCTAGGGAACCGGGATGGTAGAGAGCCACGATAAGAGGTCACCGCAGCGACTGATGTCGTGTTTCGACTGTCCCGAACAACATCAGGAGTGGCAGAGACATCTAGCCTCGCCTCAGGTGGTACGGAGTCCATGTGTTGGACCTTCGGTTGGACCTCCTCCGCCTTCGGAAGGGCAGGCGCAGTCGTTGCCAGCAGCGATTCATCATCGTCACTGTCCGGCAGGAAGAGTGGTTCACGAGGACGAGGGGCACTACGTGAAGGAGTTGCGCCCGTACTTGGCTCTCTGCGAAACGGTGTCAGTTCACCGTATAATGCGATATCATGCGATGTTCAATCACCGTAGGACCGCTTCTTCGACCTCAAGCTCATCTTTTACAGGGTCAAGGCGGTTACTTGATTCTTCGTCGTCGTCTTCTTCATCTTCCTCGGACGATGACTCCAGTTCGTCGTAGTCCGGAAGCACAAGCTTGATACACCAACCCCGATCCTAGTCCGTGGTAATCAGTCCGACCCTTTACAGAACGGATGGACGAGGTCGACCTACATCATCTTGGCCTGTCTGAGTCCAGGACACAGTCACCTGGTGGTGGTCACGTCGCAGATGAAACGATAACATATCCCGAGTCTTGAACGTGTTGTGAAGTTGACACAACGGACAACACCACTCCACCATACTACCCACCCATTCTTGGTACTCTTGTTCCTCATCTGAGCTATCTTCGTCTTCATCGCGGCCGTCTGGATAATACCGATAAACGACCTTCACCGGGTGCTGAGGCTTCTCTGCCGGGTGTATCCGCACGCCTGCTCGCATGCAGCGCTCTTCGAACCCCGCCCAAAGGTTAGGCCGAAGGAAGGGCAACCGGCGGCTCTGCTGCAGGCGCAGTTGCCCCAACGTCAGCGCATCGAAGGCATCTAGTAGGTCGTCGATCTCCTCATCTGAGTCCTCTATCTCAATCGCTTCGTCTGAAGGGAGGTTCCGTTTGCGTGCTGCAAGGGCAGGCGCGGGCGTCTTCCTCGCCGCCTTTACACCCGTTTGTCGGAGATCGAGACGGACTATTTGCCGCGGAAAGCGTATGCGAGGAGGTCTACCGTCTCAGTTAGTATCATGGAATGTCCTGAGTCGACGGTAGGAAATACTCACATGTCGTCATTGTCGCTGGCCTCCGACGTAGATGAGGACTCCTCTTCTTCCATGCGAATGGGCTGAAGACGAGGCGGGACCTCCTTCCGTCGCACGGGCGAATCCTGCCGGCCTACGACAACCTTCCTGGGAGACACTCCTGCTCGACGCTGCACTGACATCGCGGCTGCCGATATGCGCGGCGCGCTGCGGGGTACGACCGCTTCATCCCATGGATCTGGCTTGGCTGCGCTCGCGAGCGCGGCTTCCCCGAGAGCGAGGAACAAGGGTGTCCTGGGAGTGCTCTTGGTAGGCGCTGTGGCCCGAGAGCGGACGAGGGGGGCCATGTAGTTGAACGACGACTGCGGCGGTTTCTGCCACGTGGGCACGACTGAGGCCGATTTTCGCGACAGCTTTCGGGGTGCGCCTTCGAATGCGACATTGGGGCGCGGCGCTGGAGGTCTTTGCTGAGAGCCCGATTGTTTGGTCGCGCGCAACTGCCCTTCAGGAGGATTGAAGCCCCCTAGGAGGCGGCTTGGTAATCTTGAGAATGTAAATGAGCTCGATGATATGCAATTTATGAACTGGGATCGGAGCCATACCTGCCTCCAGACGTCCTGGCATTCAAGTTGGTGGAGGTCTTCTTCCGAGTAGCAGAAGCAATTGGCTGGTTATGCGGTGGGGGGCGCTGTTGCCCTTGTCGTACATCTGTAGGAACGCTCGTCTTGCGTGCCGCAGATTTGAATGCCATGCCAGGTTGACTGACAAACCGACCGCCAGCGCGCTCTTCTTCAGACCGCTGGCCGCTCGAGGAGGGATCCATGCCGAATCGCTGCCGTTATGAGTTCTTGGGCTTTTGCCACAGCGATCGCACAGAAGGTATGCGAAGATGTGCGCGGAGAAGAGACTGTCATAAGAAAGCAGTGGGGGCCTAACTACATCACAGGGTTGATCGATTCTGAGCAGTGGCCTACCTAAGTTGTACGCGGTAGTAGACTGATCGATGTCTGTGGCCTCAAAAGTGAATTGTGAGTTCGGTTGATAGATAAGAACAGAACACCCTGTCAAGGCCTCGAGGAGTTCAAGTGAAATATGCACGAATCTAGGCTGATCGGGGTCCGCCCAAGACCATGGTGGCACGTCGCATCCAGGCTGTGTTTGGCGATGTTAGGATCAGAAGCCTTTGGTAAACAGGCGTCAACAACGGGCGCCCACCCAGTGGCCTGACCGCCCGGCGATTTCTCGGGAGGCGCCCGGCGTTGCCAGCAATCGCCAAACGCGACTGCGCCCATCCATCTTCTTCCCCCCACTCGGTCGCGGGCATAATGGGTGCCACTGTCAAAGCAAAGTCAATTGGTGAGTAAATCCGCGTTTTCCGAGGTGCGCCTGCGCGGGAACATTGTCTGGCGGGCGGCTGATCACCGGGCCGTGCGGTCGTATAGATTACAGCTACTTCGGCGGCGCGGAGTCTTTGGACGAAGGCAGGTCGCCAAGAAGGACCACGGTCACCTCGCCCACCGCCGAAGATGACGGGAAGTCGCATCCTGGCCCGCCCCAGGACCCCTCGGAGTTTCTGTGGATAATGACTGAGGAGCCGCATAGGACGCGGCGGATGGCAATCATGAAGGCACATCCCGAGGTGCGTCAGGAACCTATGATTGTGCCCTCCATTACCCTAATCACCTTTTTGTGCAGGTCACGAAGCTTATGGGATACGAACCCCTCACGAAATGGGTTGTCCTCGGCGTTGTCTCCCTGCAGCTAATCACTGCCTGCCTGCTGAGCAAAACCCATCCTCTGTCCCCTATCTTCCTACTCTGCGCGTATGCTATTGGCGGCACTGCGAACCACAACCTGTTCTTGGCCATTCACGAGATTACCCACAACCTGGCGTTCAAGGGTATCAAGGCGAACAAGGCCCTGGCTATCTTTGCTAACTTGCCCATCGGGATTCCGTACTCCGCCGCCTTCAAGGTATGTATCATGGAGGGGTATTGCCAAAAGCTCGCGTGCTCACATCATACAGGGGTACCACATTGAACATCACAAGTTCATGGGGGAGGACGGCATAGACACTGACTTGCCTACGCACTTTGAGCTGCTATGCCTCAACAACGTTCTTGGCAAGGTGTTCTTCGCGTGAGTAGTCGCATACACTCTACAATTAGTCTACTGACGCGCCTCGTTAGCACCTTCCAGATCCTGTTCTACGCGCTCCGACCGGGTTTCGTACGGTCACAGACTCTGACGAAATGGCACCTGGCCAACTTGGCCACCGAGCTCGTATTCGACTACGTCCTAGTCAGGACGTTCGGTATCAAACCCCTGATCTACCTCTTGATGTCAAGCTTCTTCGCAGGAAGCTTGCATCCACTGGCGGGTCACTTCATTGCGGAGCATTACGTCTGGGACGGGCTTCACCAGGAAACCTATTCCTACTACGGCCCCTTGAACATCCTCGCGTATAACGTATGCAATTCTTGCCCTCCGTCCATGACGTACTTGCCTATTCACATCCCTCCAGGTCGGATACCATAACGAGCATCACGACTTCCCCTCCGTCGCGTGGACGCGCCTTCCGGCCCTTCGTGCGCTCGCGCCAGAGTTCTACGACACACTCCCGTCTCATCCTTCATGGCCCATGGTGATCGTGAACTTCATTCGCGACCCAGAGGTCGGCATCTTCGCACGCATCAAGCGAAAACCGAAAAGCCACGGGCAGGGTGCTGAGCAGAAGGATTAGGGCCTGCGGTAGAGATTCCTGTGTAGATTTAGATATTCATCCTGACTGTCCTCTCGTCTGGTCTCGACTCCCGAGGCACCAAGACAAACCCCAATTACGCCCTGCGCAACGTTATCTCCGCGTGCACGCGGCAGTCACGATACACGTGCCCGTTACGTATCGCGGGCCGCCCCATTGCCTCTCGTCGCCGCGGGCGCGACGTCGAGCGTTGACTCGCCGGTCCATCGAACAGCATCCACCTTCTCATCGAACAGAGCAATTGTACGCTAACATGGTCAGCGTCCCACCAGGAATATCATACGACGGCCCCATGGTCGAAGTTGCTAGCGGCGGCGCTGAGCATGATTGGCTAAAGTACGAAAAAGTCAAAGAGTATACGAACGCGTTCGTAATCCTTAACGACCAGAAGGTTAGTACATGCACGCAGCCTCCGCACATAAGAGTATGCACAACTTAACCTTCCTGTCCTTGTAGGTGTTGCTCGGCCTGAAGAAACGGGGTTTTGGAGTGGGCCTGTAAGTGAAAGGAGCTCTCATGCATCTGCCTTTCCTGTGGCGCGTCGATACGCGTGGAATTCGAGATCATAAACAGAGTCTGATTTGTTAAACAGGTGGAATGGCTTTGGTGGAAAAGTTGATCCCGGAGAGACTGCTGCCCAAGCAGCCGTACGTGAGCTGGAGGTAAGTACAACGATGCCAGGCCATCATACGTAGAGCAAACATATATTAACCCCATTACTACAGGAAGAAGCGGGTATAACGGCGCCACTTCAGCAGTGCGGCACTCTCTTCTTCGTCGAGAACACCATGGACGCGGCCTTCAACATCAGCGTGTTTTGCGCACACGAGTACTCTGGCACGATCACGGAGTACGTCGTCGCCCCCAACTGCCTATCACTTATACACGATACTGACTGTTCCGCAGGTCGGACGAGATGCGTCCGGAGTGGTTCTCTATCCAGGAGGCGCTGCTGCCGCGTACGAATCCTCTCACTATGGTCGACCACGGGGACAATGCGAAGGATCTCCCGCCGATCCCGCTCGAGAAAATGTGGGCGGACGACGAGTTTTGGATGCCCGCCATGTTTGGACGCCGGCATTTCGTCGGGCGGGCAGACTTTGGGGTGGACAACAAGATGATCAAGTGGTGGTTCGGGGCGGCCCCTGCCGGCCACGGGGATAGCGTGTAGATTCCCATCATCGGAGTGCCGGCTTCCTAGAGCGGATCAGGATACAGATATTACAATGCTTTCCAACACATATACAGGATCAACGTCAACGTCAGTGGCTTGGCTGTGGGTGGTTCTCTAGTTCGGTGTCTTGCGAAGCGCTTGCTGCGTCGGGTTTGTCCGACAGACAACTCTCTTTCGATACATGCGAACCTGGGGAGGTTAGCTCTTCATGTGGGATGAAACATCCTGACCGTGGGTGTCGCAGCCCGAACCCGTTTGGGTTGTTGTCTCGCATGACAGAACGAACTACGGACCTATGTATGATTCGCCAGATGCTGTGAATGATAGGGTCACGGTCGACGACAAACGTAGCCACATACCTCGGTATCTGGTACCCTTCCGTGGCAAGTATGGCTTTGATCTGGTTGGGGCCTTTGCAGTGATCCGTGTCCTCCGCGATCTTCTTGCAAATAAGAGTCGTCGCAATGGGGCGGGGCGGAGGCTTGCGGACGCGCGCGATATTATACTTGTTCTGGAGGGCCTTGAATTTGGTCGTCCTAGGATCAACAATTTAACCACCACCGCTTGCACAAAGTGAGCCACATCTGGAGAGACGAGCTACCGCACCCAATCTTGTAGCCGAAGTCCTCTCTGAGACGCACAATGCGACGCTGTAGGGGAAGCCCCTCTCGCGCATACTGTTGCAACGCCGCGATGAGCTCCTTCTCCGGAGGAGCTGTGGCCATGAATCGGATGAGCGTAAAATTCCAGCAGCACAAGCAGCGACATACCTATTCCGTTATCAACTCCATTTCGACCCGTTTTATTGACCATGTTGGCACTGTAGAATATAACGAGAGCAATGAGATGGATGTCAAGTAGCACAGCCTGCAAGATGGACGTCGTAGGAAGAGAAGAGTGTGGCGATTCTTCGTACAGCCTGTTGGCACATGTTTATACCGTGGCAGAACAATGCGTAGCTGAATCCAGGTAGAGAGGGTGTGTTCTCTTCAGCGTTGCATATAGTAGTACATACACTTTCGTGCTCGTGCACGGGGCGTTACGCACCGACACTACGTCGACGAGCCCAGTGCCTTCTCTAAAAGGTCAAGCGCAACCGTCGCCGTTCCCCACGACGACTGATAGCCACCTCCACCGTGTCTGTCAACGCGTCTCTCGTCAGCGGTCATGCGATGGTACAGAACAGGTCACCCACCCGTAGTTGAAGACCATAGGCACCTTTCCCTGACCTGGTCTCCCCTCGACCCACTCCACGTCCAGCCGGACGCCGCCCTTGCGCTGAGGACGGAACCCGCAGCCCTCCTCCAGTATAAGCGGACGCAGGTCCTCAATCGTACCCGGACGCTCGGCGCGGATCGCAGGAGGAACAATCTCCGGCAAAAGCGCAAGACAGCGCTCAAGAATATTCGTGGTCATCTCCGGGCGCGCGGCCGGGTACCAGTCATTATCTTCCTTCGTGCCCCCAAGGATAACCTGACACGCCAACGACGCCAACGACCCCGGTCAGTATCACCATGCCACTCAACGGAAAGGAGGGAACCCACATCGCCAGACCGCCGTGGGATGACATACGTCCACAGCCCCTGCTCCGCGTGGCTCGCCGTGCGCCCGAAGTCGACCCACGGCGCCCTGATGATCACGATCTGGCCCCGGACGGGGTACACGTCGTTGTCCTCGACGCCGCCGAGCGTGCGCGCGCCGAGCCCGGGGCACACGACGAGCGCGTCGATGGGCTCGGGCGACGCCTTGCCGAGGCGGAAGAGGTTCGGGCCGCCCTCGATGACCTGCGAGATGTGCTGCACGCCGCCGCGCACGATCGCGCCTCCGCGGGAGATGAAGCGCGCGAAAAGGTAGGAGAGGTACGGCGGGGTGTCGATGGTCACGGTGGTGAAGGAGGAGCCGACGAGTGCGCCGGGGATGAGGGAGGTTTGGGGGACTTTCTTGAACTATGGTGGCTTGGAGGTTAGTAACTAGTGAGAACATGGTGCCAGAGTGTAATGGAATTACGTTGGGCATCCAGTCCAGGCATTCGTCGCGGCCATCGAACAGGTAGTCGGTCTGTGGAATGCGGAAGAAACAATGTTCCGCGTCTCCTCCTGGGGCGGACAGCTCCCACATGACATCGAATGTCTCCCGGTCGATCGCTAAGCATGGTGCATTAGAGGCGGAACATCATGCAGCACATTGGCCTTACCCATCTGTTTAGCATCGTCGCAGGCATGGCTCACATGGTGCGCTCCCTACAGAACACATTCAGTACCGATCGTAAAAGGGCGAAGCAGGACACACGTACAGCCCAGATACTGGTGTACTTGATGTTCTTGGGATCGGTGGGGAACGTCTCCGCGATGACGGTAACATGGTATCCGCCTCTTTCTTGGATCTTGAGTGCGGTTGTCAGACCAACGACACCTGCGGAAATCCACCCATGTTCGTTTGGTCACCATTCACGTATGATAGGACTACACTATACCTGCGCCGATCACGACGACCTTCTTGGGCGAGTTTGGAGAAGACATATGATACGCCTATTGTTTCTTGCCAACGGCTGAGTGCTTGTGCTATGGCGGGACGCGCGTGCGTATGCTCACAGCCGTTAGAAGCTGAAAAAGGGGAGTTACACTGCGTTCACACACGATGGTGGGTGTCAAGATAGACTTTCATCGCGATATGACTCGATGGGCTCGTATAAGAGACCCATCCGGACTCCGAAGCACTTGGCAAACCTGCCAACGACAAGCTTGCGCCATCGTACCAATAGTATTGTTTTACTCCGGAATGAGAGCTGTGATATAGTCCACCGTACAAAGTACAGGATTAGTCTGACATCCTCGGCGGATGAACATGTCGAACAGCCGGCGCTTTCCCGTACGGCGCCGGCATAATCCTGCTGTTTACACAAAGATACTTAGCTTGCAAGTTCGAAGGTAGCCACGGACTCTTCACGCGTTCATGGACGAGACGTCTTAGGAGATGGAAGGAGAGCAACATGTCTTCATTGGGGTCCTACTAGAACATCGACAACTAGACAGAACAGAACAGAGGGAATGTGGCTCTCACTACTATCTAGAAGTCCATCATCGCAGATGAAATGAACAACGCATAGAGCTGCTAGCGAAAGGAGAGCGGACGTCCATCTGCGCCGCTACTAAATGGCCCCTGTCCAGTGAGAAAGCGTGGAGAGGGGTGATAAGGTGTCGGCGACGAAGAGACGACGCCCGCTAAAATTGCTCTTATATACCCACACAGGCGCTTGCTGCAAATGGCAAATCCCGAACGGCGGGCAGGGCCGAGAGCTCGGACCGACAGGTGGCCCGAAAGCTTTATGGGCGCCTGTGAGGCAGTGATGTAATCGGCGTCTGGACTGAGCGCAGTGGGACTCTGCCGAGCCGCCCCGCATTCTCCTTTGTATATTACTGCGACACCTCCGCCCTCGCCACGCCTCGCAGTCTCACACTGCTCACTCCTCTGCATCCTACCACCACCACCCAAAGCATACGCTCGACGCATGAAGTTCAACACACCGCTTCCCCAGCCCCTGCCCAAGGAATGCGCCAAGGCAGCGCAAATATGTATGTCTGCTTCCACGTCCACGCTGCTTCCGCAGCCTGACCTCGCTGCGCAGTCAAGTCTTTCGTCGACAGTGGGAACAATGGGCTCGACGGGGTGCGTCTTCTAAACGTTCTCCAAATTACTCAAAGCTCATTGACGTCAAATGGACCTTAGGTCATCCCTCGGAGCGTGCTTGAGAACGCCAAAGGTTTCGCAATATTCACCATCTTCAAGGCGGGCTTCCTCTTCTCTGCAAGGGCCGGGAGCGGTATCGTAATCGCGAAGCTGGAGGATGGAAGTGAGTCCAAACCCATGCTTCTCTGCTTGACGTCAATTTGGTGGCGATGTCCTCGTTCTCGGCAACGTCTCCCTGCCACTTTGGATGGACATACCCATCATTTATTCATCCCACTATCTTGATGGGCTCTTCACAACTTCTTCCGTTATGTGTACTAACGCATCATTGCAGCATGGTCGGCGCCAAGTGCAATAGGGACCGCCGGCCTTGGTGTCGGTGGACAGGCTGGCGCTGAGATGACAGACTTTCTCGTCGTATTGAACTCACGATCGGTAAGCGCACTGTGCTCCGACATGCCACTGCATGTACTGACTCCTTGATAGGCCGTTGTAAGTCACGAGACATTGTTTGTTCGGGATCCCCGAAGATGCTTACATAGAACGCCCAGAAATCTTTCATGTCGGCCGGCTCACTTACGCTCGGCGGAAATCTCAGTATCGCCGTTGGCCCTCTCGGTCGTAATGGGGAGGCAATCGGATCGCTCAACACCAGCGGCAAAGTCGCTGCTATGTAAGTTTCCCGCAGATCCAGCATGCGCAGAAATGATCGGCATAGGCTCTAACCTTCTTTGTAGGTACAGCTACTCCAAGACAAGGGGCCTGTTCGGTGGAGTATCCATCGAAGGCTCTGTTATCGTCGAGCGTCAGGATGCCAACGCCCAAGCGTACCGCACGGATGTGTCGGTGAAACAATTACTGAGTGGTGCGATTCCTCCCCCCGACTGGGCCTCTCCTTTCATCAAGACCCTCGAGGCCTGCACAGGCATGCCCGGCGGTCGCCGCTGGGTCCAGGAATTTCATCCCAACCGCTCGGAAGATCCGTATATGTTCGGCAGCGTAGAGAGCCCTGGACTAAACGAGAACGGGCCTTCCAGCGCGCGGGGCTCCCCGGCCCTGTCTGAGGGCAGCCCCAGCCTTAATGGCAAACTGTCGAAGTCGAAGAGGACCAAGTCTGGTAGTATCTCCTTCCCGCCCGTCTCGTGGGGCCGAAAAAAGAGCACAGGCTCCTACTTTTCCGAGTTCCACGACCCGAGCCGTGCGCCCGACCCTGTCGACGACCTACCTATACCATCACCCCGGGCCCCCGAGGACAGACCCTCCCCGCGCCTAGGACGTGTGATGAACCCAGCGACCGGATACTTCGAGACGCAGTTCCAGACCGACTACGTCTCCGAGGACCAGTTGAAGAAACACCCTCCGCTCCAGCGCCGAATGACGCCCACGTCCGGATCGCAAACGCGCACGGGAGCAGACGAGGGCTGGGAACCCGGCAGTCCATTCAACAACCTGCCTCCCTTCAGCCAGGCACACTCGACCATGACGGGCGCGAACTCGGAGACGTCGAGCCACCGGCGCGCGTTCAGCGCGTACGCGCCGTCGTCCGTCGGCAGCGGCGGGCGCAACGGGTCCGCCGCGAGCAACCCGTTCGACTCCTACGGCGCGAGCGAGGACGAGCTGGACGACGATCTGCTCGGGGGCGGGTCGCTCGGGCGGAGTTCTGCGAACGGCGCGAAGCCGAAGCTCGCGCCCAAGGCGGAGCTTGCGCGCCCGCTGCTCCCGCACGAGGGCGTGGCGCGCGCGATAGCGCTGTTTGATTTCAGCGCGGTGCAGGTGCGTGGCTGCCCGGCTGGGCTTTGTCTGCTCGTGAGGGGTCCGATTGCTGACGGAACTTTTCGCGGGTGTGTGTGCAGCCGGGCGACTTGTCGTTCAAGAAGGGCCAGGTCATCGTCGTCACGGAGAAGAGCGACGATACGGATACGTGGTGGAAGGGCAAGCTGGAGGGCCGGGAGGGCATCTTCCCCGCCAACTTCGTCGAGGTGGTCTAGTGGACCCGTGCAGGCCCCTCGGCTTCCTGCTGGGGCCTATTGTCGTGCTGTGCTGGTGAAGGTCGGACTCCAATGTAAGGGTATCTATCTGCTCATCTCATCTATGTATAGTCCCCGCTCTTGGTTATCGCTGTATGTACACTGTTTCCGGGCTGTGCTGTATGCTAGGCTACGTCGCTCTCAAAAATGTAGCCATGTTCTCGTCTGCTCCGAGCCCACCGATAGCCACTGTTCGACGTTGTGCGTCCCGGTCCCGCTAGAGGCTCGAAACTACTCTCGTCCTAACCCTCGAACGTTGCAACGTTAACGTCGTTGGAAATAGCACAGCTTGGACATTGGCAATACGTGGGCGTGCATAGTTGACAGTTGACTGCGCGTGGGCCCGGTCGGTCGTCCAGGTGTCTCATCAATCGCGGCGTATCGCAAATGTGGACAAGGTTGGGACTGCATGCCTCCGGGAGCAGGCCAACGGTGATAAGCTGTGCAGGCGGCGGGTGTCGAGTATGCATGTCCGCCGTCCGTCGTTCGCAAGTCACCGTCAAACTGCGGGGACTCCATCGATGCGTCGATTCACTCGGGGAGCTTGACAGATAATCGTAAACCGTGGCGCTCACCGTTCGGGCTCGGTGCCCCCAGTGATTTCCGGACACGGGGCGGAGGTGGTAGCTGTCGCGCTGCGCAGAACACCGTCCGCCCTAGGCACGTTCGCCTAAGATGGAGTCGGTGGCTAAGTTTGCATTGTTCGGCATGCCATGAGGGCGCGTACAATCAATACCGTTCTGTGGAAGGTTCAGCAATCGGGTCTGCAACTCTTCAGGGGGCGGGCGCACCGTCGTGACACTAGTTTATATGCGGCATGCGCGCACCGGGGCACCGCTGTAGCATGCAGATGCAATAGACTTGGAGCAAGCGCGGATGTCTGGATCCCCGGCTCTGGGTGCACGGGCGCATCTTGAGCGTGGTTGAGCTATTGCAAAGTCTCGGGGACTCTCGCTCTTCGCCGGGGAGGGTGTGTTTCAGCTTTGACGCAGAAGAGATGAGGGTGTACGGGATAGAATCCATTGTTGGATATCTGGAGAGCAGAGCAGGTTAGTCATGGTCCTTTAGCTGCGGATGCTTTTGACAGCAAGAAGCTTGCGGCGTCGTCGAGAAAATCGAAGCGCCTGGTTGGATGAACGCCTTGGCCACCTGATAGTTGGTTGTGGATGAATGTCGGCCACTCGTGCAGGGAAGACGTTATATAGCGATAGTGCAGACGCTCCTGACATGGCACCCGTACATGCAAATATCGCGATACTGCTAGTGCATGAACGCCGTTAGTCGTTGAAATGCACAGGAGGAAGGCCTCAAATGTCACGAAGGTTTAGTGGGGTATGCAAGGGGGATCGACGATCACCCGAAGCGTTTCAGGAGCGTCGCGGCGGAGATGCGCCTGCACAACGCCAGGGGTTGGCCAGGAGGAGCGGGCGGGGCTGCGGGCGGACAGGTTGCCGGGAGAGAGCGGCGGGCGCTCCGCTGCGGGGAAGCAGTGCCACCGTAAATTCCACTCAAAGTGGTCCGATCCAGCGGGCGCCTACGAGCCGCGCAGGAGTCCGCTGCAACGACGACGATACAAGACTCCTTCTTGTCTCTGCCCGCCATGTCCACCCCGCCCCCGCTCTCGAGCTCCAGCAGCTCGACCAATTCCCCCTCCCCGACCACTCCCCTCACCGAACTGAAAGCGGACCCCAGCGAGACGCTCGAGTACCTCCTCCAGACCATGGCGCACGCGCATGCCCAGGCACAGCAGGCACCGTCCCAGCACGGCTCCGACTCGTCCTTCGAGGCCAGCAACGAAACCGACTGGACACAGCTCTCTGCGTGGGCCCAGCCGCAGGAGCAGAAGTTTGACCTCAACTCGGACTTCAACTTCTCCCTTCCCATGGATCTTGACTTCGACCAGAACATGGCTGTCGACCCTAGTGCGCTGCACTTCACCACCATCTTCGACCACTCTGCCTTCGCCGTGCCCCCCGCGGAAGGTGCATACCTTATGAACAACGAGATGGTGCCGAGCAACCAGATGCTCTTCCCCCAAGCCGAGGAATCCTCCTGGCCCTCATCTCATGTCGAATCGCATACAGGGCGGAGACTGAGTGTTACCTCGTCCTCGTCGTCCTCCGGCGCGTCGTTATCACCCGTAATGGAGCCGTCATTCCCGATGTCAGGGTCACCCCCCTCCGAAGTTATCTTGGGCGACCCGGCGTCTGAGCTTGCCCAGCGCGTCCGCCAGATGGCCGGCGTGACCCTCGCCGTCCCTGTCAGCGCTCAAGTCCAGCAGCTCGCCGCCGCGAGTGGTCAGGTCAAGCTTCCCATCCCGCGTCTGAAGCAACAGCCCGCACCTGCCCCCGCGCCTAAGCGCAGCCCGAAGCTTTCGCCCCAACCTGAACCGGAGACCTCGGCCTCTTCGAGCCCCTCATCAGAGCAGGCACAGTCGCCTTCAGCCTCCTCAGCTTCAGACACTTCCCTTGCCCCACCGACACAGACTGTCATTGGAAGACCGAAGACGAGCCATACTACCATCGAACGGCGGTATCGTACCAACCTCAATGCGCGCATCACGGGCCTTAAGCAGTCGGTGCCTGCTCTGCGGGTACTGGAGCTCAAGGCTGGCGAACCGAGCCCCTACGACGACGTTGTTGACACGCGCGGGTTCGTCGATGGTGTCAAGGTTGCGCGAAAGATGAGTAAGGCCAACATCCTCGGCAAAGCCACTGAGTACATTCGGCAAGTGTGTTCTCACGCAAATATCGCATAACTTGACTAACATCATTCTCAGGGTGCTCAAAAAGCGCGAAGGACGTCTGAAGCGTGAGCAAGACGGCCTGAAGTCCTTGGTCAGCGGTCTCGTCGGCGGTCCCGCCCTCCTTAAAGAGTGGGAACGTGAGTGGCGAGAGCGCTTTGGTGGCGAGGAGAAGGACGAGATCGAAGACGACGACGCCGAAAGTGACGACGATGGCGACGACAGCGATGGTGAGGACGACGAAGGCCGTGCACGCAAGAAGGCAAAGGTCGTGAAGCCTGCCAAGAAGGAGAAGCCGTACAGGCCGCCTCCGCCGCCACCTGTTCCAGGCGTCCCTGGTGCGGTACCCGAGAAGCGCAAGCGTGGCCGCCCACGCAAGGTCCCTCTTCCAGCTCCGGTTGCACCGACGGAAGCCCCACCCATGGCTGCATCTCAACAAGCGAGTATGTCCACTGTGTTCTCGGCAGAACGCCCCGTGCAAGACCCGTACATGCAACAGGCACAACAGAGCCAGCAGCCCCAGCAGTACCTCCTCGCAGTCTTTGCATTCTTCTCGGTGTTCAACTCCCCTTTGACCTCCTCACACCGCTCACACGCCGCGCCACATTCACATACCCACCACGGCGCGGTCCTCACCGCGCACTCGCCTACTGAGACTCAGATCCCCATTCCCGTCACTTCTGGGTATGGCTTGCACGAGGCGGTCCAGGTCGCACATCTGGTCGTATCTGCGTTGGTCTTCTTCTATGTGCTTGTCCCCTGGTTGTCTGCTGCTTCACGGCAAAGTGGACAGCTCGCACGGATATCCTCGCTATTCTCTCGCTCGGAGAAGGAGGTTTCCGCGAGCTCGTACGCCGACGTCAAGCGTAAGGCATCGGCCCGTGTTACACTTGCCACTGCTCTCTCCCCTGCCGCGCGTGGGTCCGCAGACGAGCCCGTGCAACTGCGCGCGGCGCTGGGTGTGACCACCGGCATGCTCGGCCTCCTCCAGAGCGCCATGAAGGCTGTCCGGAAGGACCGTGGCATCGAGCTCAACCAGCTCGAGCAGCGTGCCTGGGTTCGTCTCGGCGAGCTGATTGCGTTCGACAGTAAGTGTATTGCATTCATCGGCCCTTCAGCGAGACTCCCGCTGACAGCGCCGTCATCCAGGTGCTGTGGGAAACACCACCCGTTTGCAGACGTTCTGGTGCATGTTCCGGCACATCTCTCCCTTCGCGGCCTCTACCACCGATCTCTCCACGCTCGCCCTCATCATCCGCCCCGTGTTCGCCTCGAAGGCCGGTGAGCTGTGGGAACGTGCGCGTCAGCGCGAGTTCCTCCGTGCCCATGAGAAGATCGTGCTCAACAACATGACGGTCGAGGGTGCTGCTGACTGGCTTGCGAAGTGGCGGCAGTGGCACGACACAGAGCGCAAGGGACGCTGCACCGCGTGCGAGAAGCGTACCCCCCTTGGCATTCTTGCTGCAATCCTCATTCGTGAACGTCTACGGAAGCACGCCGCATCGCTGTTCGTCCGCACCGTCGTCCGCGCCGAAGACGCTTCCCGTCGTGCGAACCTCGCCTTCGAGAGCGACGACGAGAGTGACGATGCCACCTACAAGTACAACGTGGAGCGCGACTACCAGGAGGAGCAGGAGCGCAAGGAGACCGTCGAGGCCGGCAAGTCCATCGGCGGCCGCACCGCGGAGCTCGCCATGCTCCTCGAGCGCACCTGGAACACAGGCTTCCACACTGCAGACGACGGACTCCCCCTGGCTGCTCGGCGCCGCGCAGGTAGCAACCCGGATGTCGACGCGGACTGCGAGGACGCAGCAGACCTCGCGAGCCAGGACGAGGCGGAGATCCGTGCGCTGCTCACCGCGACGCTCATCTACCGCCGCATCTTCCCATCTGCGATCCCCGCGGCCGCTGGGTTCGTGCTCTCGCCGCCCCCGTCACCGAGCCGGCGCAACGCGCAGCTGCACATGGCGCTGCGTACGGCGCTCGGCTCGGCCGCGTTCGAGTACGGCGCAGACGGGCGGCTGGAGGACGCGGAGCTCGGCGCGGCGCTTGAGGATGCGCGGGACCGCGTCGTGGACATGCTGGTGGACTTTGACAAGGCATGTCGACGCGGCGGGCGGTCGTTCGACTGAGCCTATGATACCTATGGAGCAGCTGTATTGATGGGTACTGGTATATGAGTATGAGCAGGCTATGGTACCGCCACCGCGCACGATCGACGCGGTGGGTTTATAATTGACTATTCACAGTCTGTAGAGCCGCTAGCTAGCTGTGGCGCCGTGAAGTTGTACATACGAGCTCCTCATCTCTTGTTTTGTTCCTCGTGATTTATAGCCACTTCTATTGACTCCTTCTCACTTCCGTCTGTTGCATGTACGATATGGTTTTGGAAAGCGCGAATGACAGCAACTGACAAAACTCTCCAGTCCCCACAGCGATTGGCTTCCGTAGACTTTGTCTGAAGAAGACACCGCCGACTAGTACCGAAGGACGGTCACCGGAAGTAAGTGAATCCCCTTTGGCAACTCCTTTGTTGTGGTTTGTTGTCCAAAGGCCCCATCAGAATTGCCATATTTACCCCTGCTATTTAGTACCTGGATGATCGGCTGTCGATCTGACTAGCAGCCCTCGACTCCGTCCGCACTCATCGCGCCACCTATGTTCCGCACATTCTACCAGGACAGCGCACTGGCCTAATTTTCTTGTCATGTCTACCTCTCTTCTCGCTGATCCTCGCGTCTTGACCAGGATTGGCGAACACCTCGGCCGCGCTGACCTTTGTTCCCTGCTTCTGGTCAACAAGCTCACCAACACGACTCTCACACCAACGCTCTACTCCGACATAGACCTCGTTGAGTGTTCGGCGACGTTGAAATGTGTCAAAACACTTGCGGCCGCCCCCGGAACACGCGCATTCAGTCGAGACCTCCCCGCGCTCGTGAACGCCTTTGTCCTCCACGTCCCGGCGGACGACCTACCCTGGGATGCCGACTCGAAATTATTTGGAACGACCATGCTGACCTGCATCTTCCGCATGGTCAACCTCCGCAAATTTGCGTCCCCGATTCCGCTCCCCTTCGCGCCCACCATCCTGTCCATGGTCGTCTCCGGCTCGCGGCCCAAGCTCCAGTCCATCCAGCTCGTCGTCCCCAAGGCGAAAGGCTCCCAGCTCGCGCGTGTCCGCCCGACCACTGACCACTCCAAGCTCCCCCTACTGCGCACCTTCAAGCTCGACGTGTGGCAGCCCTTCGACCCGACCCTTGCCCGCGGCATCCAGAGCCTGCTGCGCCTGCGCGCGAACACGCTCCGCGCGCTCTCCCTCACGACGTCGCTCGCCACCTCCGGGAGCCCGAACATCGTGGGCCCGCTTCTCCCCTCGGACGTGGCGTTCACCGCGCTAGAGGAGCTCGAGATCGAGCTGACCGCGCTCTCGCACCCCTCGCTGCAGCACACCGCCGCGATCCGGGCGCTCAGCATCCCCGGCAGCCTCATGGACGAGGACGAGATCGACTTACACGACCGGCTGCACCACGCGTTCCCGGTGCTCGAGTCGCTCGCGGCCCCGAACTCGATCGTGTCCGAGTTCTTCCCGGAGGACACCCGGCATCGGAGGCCGATCCACACGCTGCGCCTCAATGGGGCGTCGTACGGGATGGGCAGCCTCGACTATGCGGGCGACGAGAGCGAGTGGTACGACCTGGAGGAGATCCTGCCTCTGTTGCGCTATTCGGCTGTTCCAATCAGAGACTTGAGCTTCGCGGTAGTGGACCTCCCGCTCGAGGACCTGCCGCTGGTCGTGCCGCACCTGGTCACGTTGCACCGGCTTGTCGTCGTGTTCTCGGACGACTTCGAGGCGGACGCTGCGGTACGTGGGCACTATGGGCTTTATGCGATGCTGCGCCTCTTGCTGACCTTCTGGTATCATTATAGGATTACCTCTCGGAGCTGGGACAGGTGTTGATTGCGCACTTGCCGGAATTGCACACGTTCCTTATGTCGGACATGCCCGTCCGGGTCCAGCACGAGGATAACGGGTTCGAGCATGCGCAGGACCTTCCGCTTCAGAGGAAGATACTGGCGGAATGGGAGAGCTATTCGTCGGCTCTGCGTAAGGTCGCGTTCACGTCGGAGTTTGGGTGGGAGAAGAAGGGTGATCAGTGGTTCCCAGCGTCCCCGGCGAGCTTCGTATAATGGTCGTGCTATCTGTTTTGTGCTTTGTAGAGAATGTTAATGTTGCAAGGATTTGGATCTCTTCTGTGTACGCCGCGCTTCCGGCTGGTATTCCTTAATTGTAAGGGTATTTGATGGTATCGGACGATACAAATGATGCCTACCATGACGCACAATTGCACTAAGCTCTGATTAACCGGTAAGCAGCTTTGCTAAGCGGGGTTCCGCACCTGAAGTATTCTAGTAGCCAGGCTGGGGACAGGACTCCTCTTTCGAGCCTGTTGAGACCAGAACATGGTTCGATGCGCATTGTGTACCTGTTTTCGCACGCGATACTCGTCTGCTTTCAATGTATACCAAGTAGGTTAATGCCAGATGAAACCATTGAATAGGATGTGTGCAGTATTACAGCCAGGGTCCATGATGTACGATACTATATGCTACAGAAGTGGCGAAAGCGATACAATGGGACACGTCTGAAAGTCTAGGACAAGATAACACAAAGCTCATGCGTAGTACGAGTCACCCACGTCAATGGCCGCAGCGGAAGTCGCTTTCGCGGCTGCACTCGAGCTCGTAGCTGCATTTGAGCTCACAGCCTTGGCCGTGGCCGTGGCCGGAGCCGCAATCAGGGTGATAGTGGTGGGCGCGCCGAGGTCGGACGTGAACGCAGGTGCAGACGCGATCCCGACGGGCTTGCTGGAGAACGCGCTGCTCTGTGCCGCGTTCGAGGAAGCGCTCGCCGACGCCGACGCGGTGGGGGCGGCGCCGCGGATGGTCGTTTCAATGGAGAAGTTCGTGTCGGTGGCGATGCTGGAGAGGAAGCTCGAAGCCTGCGAGGGGTTGAGTGTGGTCGTCTCTGAGAACTCGGTCGAGAAGGACGTGGGCACGACGGTAACTGTCACGGTGACGGGGGAACCGTTGGAGCTGTCTGCGGTGCTGGAGGGGACCGAGGTGAAGGAGGAAGCCGCGATTGTGCTGGTGGCTGAGACCGAGGCGGTGTGTGAGACGGAAGTACGGGTGTGGGTACCCGTAGCAGAGGCGGTCGAGACGACGGAGGACTGAGCGTCTCCCGCATCCTCTTCGTCGTCATCGTCGCAGTCCATGGGGAAATCGACGGTGCCGTTTGTGCTCATTACAGCAACACCGCCGGTGGCTCCCGACGCGCTGATTACGGAAAGAGCGGTCGTGTTCGTAGTGCACGAAAGGACCTGTAATGCCGGTAAGTGGGTAGCGCTTTGTATATCGTGAATGTCAAACACTTACAGTACCCTCTTCCCTCACGGAGGGAAGTGCAAAGCAAGAAAGTGACTTGGGGCAAGCTTCTTGTGTCCATGTGCTGTTCACGCAGTGGGCTACAGAAGCGCCGATGCATGCCATTTCGCCCGCTAGAATCCCGTGAGCTTAGCCCACATGATGGCATGAGCTGAACTCACAATCGCAAGAAGCCGAGGCGTTGAGGTTGGCGAACTCCGCGTTGAGGGTTTGTGCTTCCATGCCGTTTTGCAGGAAGGTGGCCGCATCGAGCGACACGGTGGGTGCGCAAAGGGCGGCGGAGGCAGCAAGAACGCCGTAGAGCAGAGAGAGCATTTTGATGGTGCTGGTTAGAAACAGAAACGACTGAGAATGCTATGGTGTAGCTGTGAAAGCGTGAGGAAGCACCAGGCCTCGAGAGAAGTAGGGAGTGAGAGGGAGTAGGAGGGAGTCTGAGGACTGAGAGCAACACCGAGGACCGTGAACAGCACGACGAAGGAAGATGAAGAACAAGTTGTCTTTAACTGAGCACGCACAAAAGGCGGGATATGTTTAGCAATAAGCGCAGTTGCCATTGTCCTTGTTTTCCAAAGCGGCCGGTGTGGTTCCTAAACAAAGCCTATTGTTTCCCAATCCGGAAGCGCACTCTTCCATAGCGCGCGTCACGTGGCTTTCATCTAGGGCAGGTCCGTACTCGCGCGCTAGACGCCTGCGCATACCGAGATTTTGCAGGTCGCATAGTCGGGTCTCAGTCCACCACACTCGTCAAGACACCCGATTCACCATGGTGAGCATCCCCTCTACGCATCCAGACGGCCCTCCGGAGTCCCTACAAGCCAAAGTCGCGGTGGAACGGGCAGAATTCATACACGGAGGCGATGGATGGCACGACGGGACTTCGGATGACACCGGCCGGCGGAGACTCTCTTGCACTCGATAGCTGACACTCCGCCGCGTAGACCAAGAAGAGAAGAAATAACGGCCGCAACAAGAACGGCCGCGGCCACGTCACCTTCGTCCGCTGCTCCAACTGCTCACGATGCGTGCCCAAGGACAAGGCCATCAAGCGCTTCACCGTCCGCAACATGGTGGAGTCGGCTGCCGTCCGTGATATCAGCGAGGCGAGCGTGTACCAGGGTGCGTCTCTTTCCTGGTGTGTGTTCGCGAACGGGGGATTGAAGGAAATACTGTCGCCGTGCAGAATACGTTATCCCCAAGCTCTACATCAAAATCGCGTACTGCGTGTCGTGCGCTATCCACTCGCACGGTATGTTCATTCTTCCACACATCACTCGTATAACCGTCTTACGCAACGAACCCAGTTGTCCGTGTCCGTTCGACCGAGGGCCGTCGCAACCGTGCACCCCCTCCTCGTGTCCGGTGGAAGGATGGCAAGAAGGTCAACCCTGCTGTCGCTGCGGCCGAGGAGGCCAAGGCTGCGCTCGCGGCGAAGACTGCATAGGCGTTTCGTCCGTCAGATCTGTATTCCGTACCTCGCCGCTATCCATGCATCCTTGTAACGCACTCCCGATTGCAAGCGTTGACTTTTAATGCTATGTATTGCGCATGTAAGTGCTGGTCGAGACAGCCATGTGGGATGTATCGGAGTGCAACTGTTGTGAGTAGTTATGATTCTTCGAAAGCATACGGGTCGGGGCTTCCTTGCACACCCCCTCAGTATATGCAAAGCCTTCCCCGTAAGACGTCCTCAGTTCGTAGTTGGTTTGTAGGTTGGAGCATCTATAGTCTTACTATTAATGAAACGTGAACATGTGCAGTGCTGGTTTTATGGTTCTTGCGGTGTACGGTGGGCATACGCTCATTCGATGCAAATCCAGTGTGAACAATTTCATTTCGCGGATAACAGACGTCGTAGTATAGCAGCATTGTCGAATACACATGTGCTGAGGAGTAGTAGAATAACACGGGGGACACGGTCCACAAGAGTCAGACAGAAAGCAAGGCGACTAGACGACGACGCAGCGCAGAGACGGACAGAAACAAGCAGGCAAGCAACAGAACGCTAGCTGTACACGCCGCAGGGATCGGCAGGGGGCTACTGCAGACGAGCTATGACGTAGGGCGATCAATCGTAGTCGTCCTCGTCCGCCTCCTCGATGGGCTCCTCTGCCTTCTTCTTGCCGCGAGAAGAGGCGGGCTTGGCCTTGGATGGAGGCTTCGCTGAGGAGGCAGGCTTTGCCCGCTTAGAGGGAGGCTTCGCGGCGCCCTTGGAGGCAGGGGCGCGCTAAGGCAGGATGCGTTAGTCCTACAAGGTGTGACGCTGTGTAGTCGAAACAGCGTACCTTGCGCTTCTTGGAGTTCTCCTCCGGCTCCTCGTCCTCGTCGATTTCCTCCTCGTCGACGGCGGCGAGCTCGTCGTTGAAGTCCTCGCCCGACTCGGACTCTTCCTTCTTTTTCTTCGCGGCGGCCTTCTTAGGCGCAGGCTTTGCCTTGGGCGCTGCCTTCGCCTTGGGAGCAGCCTTCGCATTTGCCTTCTTCGGCTTCTCCTCCTCTTCCTCATCATCCTCGTCCATCTCGTCATCCTCGTCTTCAACCTTCTGCACACAACTCGTCAGAACATCCGCTCTCGCTTGCATATGCGAGAAAATCACAGAAGGCCGTATGCGCACCTTCTTCCTGGGCGCGCGCGGCTTCTTAGGCTTCGCCTCCCCGTCCGCGTCCTTCTTCTTGCGGGGCGCCGCCTTCTTCTTTCCCGTGTCGACGGGCTCGCCGACGCCCTTGTCGTCGGCGGGGATCGCTCCCTCCTCCCAGGCGCGCTGGACCTTCTCCTTCTCACCGTCCTTCAGGTCGTCCCACCCGGGGACTTTCGCCGGTTCCTCGTACGAGGCCTTGAGCCTCTCGACGAGCTTCGCGTCTGCACAGCCCCAGTGCCTCCATCCGCTGAACAGCCGATATGGTCAGCCGTGCGTGTAGGGTAAGAAGCGACGGACTCACTAGCTCTTGTTGCCACGGAAGTCCACTTCTTGGCCAAACCGGAAGTAGTCCTTGCCAATGTTCTCCGAGCAGTCTGTGACCGAAGGAAACGTGAGTCGTTTAATTTGTGAACCGCGAAGTAAAACACAGATACGCACCCTTGCACTTGGACCGTCCGGACGACGCGTACTCGAACTTGAAGACGCTGACGCCAGTGTCCTCCTCTTCCTTCTTCTTGCCGGCCTTCTTCTTTGGCTTGTCCTCCTCTTCCTCCTCGCTGGCTTCGCCGTCAGCTTTGCGCGCCGACTCGGGGATATCCTCGGGAGCGACGTGGCCTTCTGCCCAAGCCTTCTTGACCCGCTCTTGGTCCTCGTCGTTAAGGTCTTCGAAGCCGTCCAGCTCTTCCGCCTCATCGAACGAGTTCTTCATGTTGCTGAGGATTTTGGAGGTCACACAGCCCCAGTGACGGTATGCACTGCGCGTTCGTGTCAGCATACACGGTCGCCGGACGATGACGTGCGCGAGAGCCGTGAGCAGGAGCGGGGGACGCAGAACCAATCACGCAACGCCGCCGTATGGGAAAGAAGAGGTGGGGACGGGAGAAACAACGCACAAGCTGGTATTTCCCCGGAAGTCAACCAGGGAGCCAAAGCGGAGTTCGCCCTTGCCAATCGCCGTGCCATTGCATCTGAATGGAGGTAAGAAAAAATGGACGAGCGGTAGAGCAGGAATGAGACGTACGGCTTGGGACCTATGACGCGCAAAAGACGCGTGAAACGCGACGAGGGCGGGATTTAGAGCGATTGGCCACACGACGGGGGGATTGGACGCACCTTTACACTTCGAGCGCCCACTGGAGGCGTAGTCGAGACGGTAACCCGTCTTTTTCGTGCCCTCGGTATCGGACATTGTTCAGGCAGGGTCAAGGGAGCGAAGGGGAGGGGGATGGGAAGTGGGGGGAAATGGAGGCGGGAGGATGTTGGGAGGATTATATAGGAACAGAGGGTGCTTCAAAGTCCGCTTGGAGAGCGCTGCAACTAAGCAGCTGCTTAACAGCCACGCCTAGCCACAGCCAAACTCTGCGCACGGGCCTCTGCTCCCTCTATCATTCACCCCATCGCCCCACGGCCCCCGCCGCCCTCGAGTGCATTGTTCTCGCAATCGCAGATGGCTTGGCCGACAATGCGACGCGATATCAGCCAGCCCTGGCGCATGGGTACAGCGCACAATGGGTAGGGTTAGGGTTGATGGCTCTCCTTGCATCTTGTCATCTGAGTCGACATGGATACCAGCTTCCTGTTCAAAGTATCCTTGGGCCATTGTCCGGTGCGAATGCGCGAGGACAATGAGAAAATTCACGCTGTTCTACGACTCCGGCGCGGGCATGCGCCGAATCCCCGAGCAGGGACTTCCGCCACGATCTGTAGCACCCGTGCACTGCACATCACCCAGCAGCAGCTGCTAACCGCAGCGAGGGGCTCCGGCCACCATTGACCACCACCACCGATGTGCACCACCGAGACTTCCAGGCTAGACTGGTCTCTCGCCTGTCCAAAGACATGCGCCCTACGGGACACTCTATGCGAATGTTCCACGCTAGAGAACTCCGCCTCGGATACGGTCCACATTTGACTGCCTGCCTAGGTACGCCTCGGAATAACAACCGATAGCGATACACCAGTGGGTGTCGGTTGTCATTCCGACTGATGCTACGACGGGTGTGCAGACTCGATCGTAATACTCCACTTCCTCGACCGACAATATTGGTCTGGATGCGCTGCCCGGGCTGCCCGATGCTTGCTACGCCGTACGACCTGGTCCAAATCGTAACGGTTGTCCGCGAATTATTGGAGTGGATTGCGGAGCTGGTGGCTGGTATCCTCGGTATTGCAGTCTTCCAAGAGTTCCACCCCACACCCTCACACCCGCACCCTCCTGGCCAGCAGTCTATATAAGACCCTCTGTTTCGTGACTTCTAGCCATCGAACCAGTCTTGCCTTTGCCTTCTGTCCACTCGTCCACACACCCCTACTCTTCCACAACCAGCTCTACAACCCTCAGTCTGCGACTAGGACCACTGCATCCAACATGCCTGAATACTACGTCGACAACGATCTCTGCTACTGCTCGCTTTGCGACCGCTACTTCCCCGACGAGGAATTACGCGCCAACCATGTCCGCTATGCACTCAACCACCCCAAGTGCAACAAGTGCGAGATCCGCTTTGCGAACGGCAATGCCCTTCGAGTGGTATGCCGTCTTTAAACTGCTACTAGTTCGATGATCACTAACCCTTCGCCCCCTCCAGCATTACACCGTCTCTCACAGACACAGCTACTGCTCTGCCTGTGACAGGCACTTCAGGTCCCGGGCCGGACTTCGTGCTGTAAGTTACCCCCTCCTATACCATTGCTCGAACACTATGCTCATGCGATTGTAACAGCACGTCGAGTTTGCCGCCATACACAATGCCGATGACTCTGACGACGATGAGGACGAGGATGGAATCGACGACTCCTACGAAGGCTGGGAGGACGACGTCGGTCTCCAGCGGTACCCCGACGAAAACTACTACATAGAGCCGTCCGTCGAGGACGACGAGGCTCTCGACGAGAGCCAGCACTACTGGCCGGAGGACGATGAGCCGGATACCCTCGACGACGAGTCATACAACGGCTGGGCCCCCGTCCCTGCCACAGTCAGCGTGGAGGACGGGTCGGAGGGTGTCACTCCTCCGGTCGAGGAGACAAAACCCTCGGCCCACGTCTGCGCCGACTCATGCGGGGATGGCCCCTGTGCGAGCGCGCAAAAGGCGAAGCCGTCGCCGCCGACCGCCTTCGTCCTCAACTGCCCTGTCTGCCTTGACGCAACGTCAACGCCGACCGCAACGACCTGCGGGCACATCTTCTGCTCTTCGTAAGTCGTCACATTACATCCTCCTGTCGGACAAGCCTCTTACACACTCGCAATAGATGTATCCACCGCTACATGAAGGTCGACCGCAGTTGCCCGGTCTGCAGGAGACCTGCGACCCCCAAGGACTTGAGGAGGCTTTTCCTCGAGGCCGCCACTAGCTAGAGTTACGGACTGGACCACATCGGACATTCGGACATTTGGACATTATACGATACTGTATCGACCACACGGACACTAGTTTCACTATATACCATATTGCCCCGTTCAATCCAACACCCAAAACATATCTGATATCACCTGTTGGCCGTGAGCTCCGCGTGGACAACACTCCGAGAGATCGCGATCTCGGTGGCGGTGAGGCACGAGCGTCTGCCGTGCACATTTCCGTTCCTCCGCGCTCTACCCCGCGCAGAAAGGTCTTGCTCTCCTCTCCGTATCTCTGTCCTGTACTACGCTTCGTCACCCTATCCTGCTCACCTCATAATCCTCTGTGCGACTTTCTGTACTATCTGTGCTATCTTACGTGGTCTTCTTGTACAAGTATACCCGACCCAGGGCCCCAAACCCTGTTCCGCAGACTCGAACCTACACTACACTCTCGGCCAACTTAGTACTACCTCCGCCAGCATGCGGTTCACCAAACCAGCATGGGTCATGCATAAAGGTGCGTCGCTGTCCCGTACCCCACCTCACTAAGTCCAGTACTTAGCCCTCCGCACACGCAGACTCCGCCATGCGCGGGGACGAGAAACGCGTCTCCATCTTCTCCTGCCACGTCCACCCGGACGGCTCGCGCATCGCGACGGGCGGCCTCGACGCGAAAGTGCGCATCTGGAGCACCAAGCCGATTCTCAACCACGCCTCCGAGCTCTCCGGGCGCCCGCCGAAGTCGCTCAGCACACTCACGATGCACACCGGGCCCGTGCTCGTCGTGCGCTGGGCGCACTCCGGCCGGTGGCTCGCGAGCGGCAGCGACGACGAGATCGTGATGATATGGGACCTCGACCCGTGAGTGCCGGGTGCTGGACTCGTGCAGCGTCGGACTGCGGCTGACTGCGGTGTGCTTGGCAGGACGGCGAGGGGAAAGGTGTGGGGCTCGGACGAGATGAACGTCGAGGGGTGGAAGCCCCTGAAGCGACTGGTGGGACATGAGAGCGGTACGCGTGCACGCGCTCACATCCGACTTACTCTGCTAACTTGTGGCGCAAGATGTAACGGACGTTGGATGGTCGCCCGGAGACAGGTACCTCGCCTCAGTAGGGTTGGACTCAGCGGTGTTGATCTGGTGCGGGTTCACACTAGGTATGTACTGCTTATACACTATTGCCTACCGTCTCTAAATGTGCGCGCAGAACGGCTACGCAAGATTGACCAACACCAAGGTTTCGTGAAGGGAGTATGTTGGGATCCCGTCGGGGAGTTCCTGGCTACCGGTTCTGATGACAGGTCCGTCAGGATATGGCGGACAACCGATTGGGAGTTGGAGGCAGAAGTCAAGAAGCCCTTCGATCACTCTCCCGGCACATTTTTCCGACGCTTGAGGTATGTATCGCAATGGTGGTCATATATACGTCGTCTCACCCGGTCATAGCTGGTCTCCGGACGGCGCTCATATCACCGCCTCGAATGCCACAAATAACGAGGGCTATGTTTTCATTGCGGCTGTCATTGCGCGAAATTCGTGGACTTCGGAGATTAGTTTGGTAGGGCATGAGAACACAGTCGAAGTCGCGGCAAGTAACTCAACGCGGTGCCCTACTTGTATGTTCGCTGAATTCTAGACTGCAGGCGTACAACCCGCATATCTTCCTACGGGATCCATCTCAACCGGTGACCGCCCCAAATATCTGCTCGGTGGTCGCCCTCGGAGCGGATGATCGAGCGGTGTCTGTTTGGCAAACGAAGGCGCCTCGCCCGTTGATAGTTGCCAAGGATGTCTTCGAGAGACAGATCATGGACTTGAGCTGGTAAATTATATTCCTCTCTCTCAGCTTGACAGGCCTCATCTGATTAACATTCGCAGGTCTACGGATGGCCTTACGTTGTACGCAGTCTCGTCGGATGGTACCATGGCAGTATTCAGTTTCGACGTCAAGGAGCTGGAGGGCATCGCGCCTTCCTCCGCCCAGGAACAGTACCTCAAGCGGTTCGGCTTCACCGCGCCTCCCTTGCCCGAGGGTTTCTCCCATCAGATGGCCGCAGACACGGCGAAAGCCCAGGCCAATCACCGTATCACTCCTCCTCCGTCCCCACGCACACAGGGCCAGGACTTTGGGAGCGCCACGCCCGCCACGGTGCGGAACGGCGGGGAACAGATCAACACGCTCATCGCAAAGCGCAAGCCCAAGAAGCGCATACAGCCCACTTTCGGCGGCTCGCTCTCTGGCGCAGTCCCCTCTTCCTCCACCAATGGGGTCACGTCTTCAAAACCCGCCTCCAGAGCACCTCAGCGCGCTTTCCAAGACGTACCTTCCTCGAACCACGTCTCCATCTCGGTACCGTCTACGTCGGCGCTCGCGTTGTCGGTGTCGCAGCCGTTCAGCGAGAGCGTCAGCGGCTTTGGGCTGGGATTAAACACAGGGGAGGCCGACGACTACCCTATGGACCTCGATGGCGAGGTACGCATCAGCTCGCTCGAGACGTTCGGCCAAAATGGCAGGGGCAAGCGGAGGGCGGGAGAGGATATGGACGACCGTGCCGCGACGAAACCTCGGACGCTTGGGGGAGACCGGGTCAGAGAGAACGTCCCCGTGCGGCCTATCGCAAGCCGGGGCGCTGCCGCGATGGCCATACCTGCGTTATTGGCTGAGGGATCGGGCATAGCAGGTCGCCTCGAGCCTCCACAGCTTGTCACATATCTAAAGGCTGCAGTTGAGGGGAGCGAGGATATCTTCGAGGGACGGAATGCTGAGGGAGATGGTACGTCGCTTGGTGTTCACATACATGCTGGCGTGACTAACGCAGTTTGCAGATCCCAACGAGGTCATATTCGTGAGCGGAAAGCAGACACAGTGGCTCGACTACGTGCCGTCACCAATCCTCGCATTGGTCGCCACAACCACATTCTGCGCCGTTGCGATGCAGGATGGTTCGGTGAACGTGTACTCACACACAGGCAGACGTTTGATGCCTGCACTGAGCCTCGGTGTCCCTTGTCACGCGCTAGCTGGGTCTAAGAACATGCTCCTGGCTCTGACTGTCTCTGGCATGCTCTACGTCTGGTATGTCTCTCTTGCCTCTTTCACTTTTCACAGCTAACAGCGGCTTCAGGGATGTCCGTAAACAAGCCGCCAAATTTTCTCCCGCATCCATCAATCCCATCCTCGCCGCCTCACCAAATCTCACCATCGCCTCCACGTCCATCCGACCGAATGGCGCTCCCGTGATTCAGCTCTCTGACGGGGTCACGCACTCGTACGACCCGGCACTGCTGGCGTGGACGAAGCTCAGCGAGCCGTGGTGGGCAGAGGGTTCGGACGCATGGCAGGGCCGCCAGCGGACAAACAACCAATCTGCTGCGCGCGGGCCGGTCACGATCATCGAGGGGGCCATCAGCGAGCGGATGGCGGTCGACAGCGCGCGGGCGGAGAAGGTGCGGCCCGCGTGGTGGAGCGCCGCGCTCACGCTGGGCCACCTGGAGAGCAAGCTGCACGCGGCGAAGGCGCTGGACAGCCCACAGGAGTACAAGCAGGCGCTGCTTCTGTACGCGAAGCGGATCGCGGACGAAGGGTTCAGAGCGAAGGCCGAGGAGCTTGCTAAGGAGCTCTTCGGGCCTGTATATTGGTGCGCGTTTGCCGGGGCAGGAAGCGTTGGCCTCATTTACTCATCTACATCTTCCTCTCGTCAGGCGACCAAACCGCGACGAGGCGTGGTCTCCGACGACACTGGGCATGCTGAAGCGCGACCTCCTCAAAGAGGTTCTCAACATCTTCAGTACGTCCGGCTGCATGTACACAAGGCTCCTTGCTGACGATTTTGATGAAGTCCGGAGCAAGACGTTGACGAAGTTGGGTCAAGACTGGCAAGAGATCATGAAGAAGTCGCAAAGCGGGGAGTGACCGCTCGAGTGATCGAGTTTTCCATCTTGTTTAGCCAGGCTTTCTTATTACTACGGGTATTGTGTGAACATGGCACTGACGCTGGTGCGATGTGCTCTAGACACTCATCGGCGCTGTGCTGGGTACTATCGAGGGTACCGTCGGTTCCCCCTCTGGAGAATTGATCGCCAGCAAACCGATGAGTTCCGATGTTCGCCGTACTATCCCGCCACCGGATACTTATGCAATTGAAACGAGACTTGCAATGCAAATGTCGCGCGCTATCCCGGACCCCTCCCCCCCTTTCCCCAATTTTTGTGAGTGCATTCATGCAAATCCGATGTTCTATCCTGGAAAGTTGAAGGCTATATGAAGGCCTACTGGATGAAGGAGAGACCGATTTGCACATGCTGTCTTGCGTAGCATATCCGGTGGTGGAATAGCCTGCAATGAGACTAACAGTCAATATTCCGCCTGGTCTCTGTCAGATGACAAAGCATATAGATTAAGAAGAAGGCATGCCGCGCCGTGTACCGGGGGCGTGGTGGGAAACGAGGCTTACACACACTGGCAGCCTTAAAGTGCGCTCGTCGTCGCCCATGACTGCCTCTGTTCTTCACTCAAACTGCTTACAACGCTTCCCAGTCTTCCTCCCACTTTGAAAATCGACACGAGATCCTATACGTAGGGTGCCTGCGAGAACTAGCATCGACTGATTGTCTACATTTCGTCAGTTCATGCCTGACGTCTCACCACGTTCCACATCATCATCGTCTTATAAAGGTCCGAGGGATCAGGTGAAGAACAGGCTCATCGTCGATTCCAAGTTACGCCAGTCGGGCTCCAAATCCCTGCCTGAGTTGCCTCCCGATATTCTCCACCTCCAGGTCTGCTTGAGCTCTCTCGTACCTTGCTCCTCCACCTCACATATTGACACACTCTACAGTCATTTCCGACCGCGACAGCAGCTTCCAACGTCGTACGTCCTACTCGTTTTATATTTCACGTCAATCGTATCTGCAAGCTCATGGAGTATTGTTTAGATACAGGCTCTATAACCGGGATCTCGCAGTAAATCATCCTTCCCTTTCCTCGATGGAGTTCTGCAGCTTGCCAATCGAGCTCTGCGAGCGCATCTTGGACGCACTTCTATACCGCCCCCATCCCCGGGCCGAACTCTACTGGAGAGCAGACCACCCCGTCGAGTCAATAGCAGCGCAAAGTGCGCTTCGCGCGTGTGCGCTGGTCTGCCGCGCATGGCGTACTCGTGCGCAGCGCCTGCTCTGGACCTATCCTCACCTCTCCGATGAGCGTTCTCTGGTTCTGTTCACTGCGACCACCCGGACGATGCCGAAGCTGCCCACCACCATGCTCGCCTTGGAGGACTGGGACCCGCATCCTAAACCCAGCTCAACCGCTTTCACCCTTCGGCGGGCGGGCGAGTTATTGACACAGCCGCCATTCTCCAATCTGCAATACTTGTCGTTCGTTCGCGTACACTTCGTACGTGGACCCCCCCTACAGCTTTTCCGCATGAGACTGCCATTCTTCACCGGGATCACCACTCTATTGCTGGGCCACAGTACATTCAGTGCTTTGAGGGAGATGCTGGACGTTGTCTGGGCCTGCCCAAACCTCTCCATGTTGGCCATATTCGACCCTGAAATCAAGTCGAGCCGCTCTTCAAGCGCAGGGAACGCAGTCTTATCTGCGTCTTGTAAACACTTACGAGCATGTCGGAAGCTGAGAAAGCTCATAGTGGAACTGACGAAGTTCAATACAGAGGTCAGTTGATTTCCGTTACTATATTTTCTGTTGAAGTTGTTCATGATCTGCGGTCTACATAGGGTGCCAACGCGCTCAGAGGAAGTTTTTTCGGCAGCGCCGTTACAGAGTTGTGGGTCCATATTCTTCATGGTGAAAGTAAGTGGAATATCTATCAGTGTTAAATCGTGGAATTTGCATTGAACCGCCGCCCTTTCTCTTAATCTAGAATGGTTCTCCACATTCATCGCCGACTCGTTCCCCGATACTCTGTGCTCTATTCGGGTTCACGAATATATAGACCCAACGATCTTCGCATTCGGAGAAATACAGTCCTACCTCCATGCAATCGCTGCGAGCCGAACCAAACCCGGCATCCTGAAGAAGATTACTCTCACCGGACGCCACGGCTGGCGATACGGCATCCTTAGGGAATGCTGCCATGCGGCTGTGGGCACGAGCGAAGAGGTCGTCGGTTTCTCGAAACGACTGCCAGAGCTCTTATCGGGGCTGGAGGAGCTGACCATTCGCCTCGTTCTTGACGCTGACGAAGGCCCGGGGCGCTGTGCCACCTACATTCGTTCCACCTTGCCCAACATGCATACAGTTCTTCGGTTCGAGTATCGTACAGATGGGGATGCTTCTAGTGATTGGAAATCGTACGCGATACCAACGCGATACCACCCAAGACCGAGATCCCTTGCTAGGTATGGCATGCGTTTTTTGCATCCGCAAGTAGCTGACGTTAATGGGCCAGTTGATTGTCACGGCCTTTCGCGCCCCGCTGTGGTGGCCAACGCCAGCGGCCACAGGCGCCAACTCGACACCGCCCCCCGCCCCGACGGTGCATCTCTCGCGAACTCGCGCGAAGCCTGCGCGCGCCCCCGCGCGCGACCTCCTCCATCCTCGCGCGCCCTCGTGCGCGTGCTCTCGTGGCGTTCACGATGTTATCTATATATATTCAGGCTTTAATCAATGAAGCCACGTCTTTGTTAGTGGGCGGGTTTGTGCAAAGTTTGCACACTCACCTGAAGTCCCGAGACTGCTTTCTTCCCGTCTTGCCTGCACCAAAAAAACCTCGACTCAGCCTCGACTCAGCCCATGAGCGCGGTTGCGGCGTGCGTCGGACGTTTCTGGTATCAGAGATAATCAGATAAGATTAGATTCGGCGAAGGCGCGCGCCGTGCTGGGAGAGTGGCTGAACCATCGTGGCCCTCACCACTACCACCACTACCTCCAGCCTCCCTTCCCCCGTACCCCTTACATGGGACTATGATATGTGGCATGAAGTTCCTTTCCCTGATATGGTTGGTCTTGCTTCAGCCCCTTCTATCCTCGTCCTCCCAATGCTCGCCACAGGTTCTTTTGGATCGTAATCCTCCAGGTCGTGCATGCCCAGGTCTCCAGGAATGGCACTGACCTGGTGTGTACACCCTTCGGGACGTGCGAGCCATGTCCAGATGATGCTGTGAGTACGGGTACAAACCATCAGAGTGCTTCCCTGACTCCGCCGGGCTCAGCTTCACGAACCGTTCTGCCAACCCTTCGGGAACCGACGTCTCATGCACTGTATTCCCACTTCTCCCACTTCCGCTACTGGCGGAAAGCAAGCCCCCGATGACGCGTCAAATACTTCGACCGGCCATAAGGCCTCTCAAGGAGAGACGCCTGGCTGGGAATCGTGCGGACGCATCGTCGAGAAGGAACGCGCAGACTTCTACGAGTTTATCGCGTGCAACCTCTTCATCGGTATCGTTGCTCTCACCCTCGTCTTGGCACGGTCCAAACGCCTTCAAGCACTTCAAGCACGGCAGCTTGCTGCTCGTATTGGTTTAGTTCGAAGTAGTCCAAATCCGGGAGGCTGGTCTAGTGGGTGAGACGTATGTCTGCTGGGTTGCTCGGGCGTTATACATATCAGTAAGCTTCTCATTGTGTTTTCCAGAGCATCGTGACTGATGCAGATTCTAGTCTTGTAGTGCTACTGGTTTAAATTTACGTTAATAAGGCAGTAACAAGCCTTCTCTGCTACGCGCTTAACCTGAAGTCTCTCCTGAGGAGTTGCAAGGTAATGGTCGACCGTGAGGTCTATAAAACTCGACTCGGACACATAATACTGCGCCTAGATGATGGTGAAATCCTAGATATTCACGCCCATTTTGTTCGACTCTCATTCCAAGACAACGTTAAAACGCCTGGTAGTAGTGGCTGCCATTGCAAACGGCGGTACCAGGTATTATCAGCCTGTGATTCACCCCGCCTCACCATGCTCAAACGGTGGGCGGTGCGGAGCGGGTTTTGACTCCGCACACCAGCCGGTCTGGCAAAGGTGCGTACTCCCATGCATCGTCTCTTGCAATCCCACATTCCCGTGCAACCACCCATACGCCGCGAACGTCTCCACTAACGTGGGCAGAAAGCCCTTGCTTCAGCAACCCGTGGCTCTAGTGCTCGGTCATGCGTACAACATGCGCGAATGCCATGAGAGGCTGCATATATACGGGACGGCCCTTCTTCCCTGACCGCAGCACTTCTCATCCACTGCTAACTTCTGCACCCATGTTGTCCGCCCTTGCTGTCGCTGTTGCACTCGCCGTGATCGCCAACATCGAGCCGACCGAGGCTGTAGCCGGAGTGAGCACCTTCAATGACGTGCGTTGTCTCCGTCGGAGTCCCTTGCTTGCGTCTGCCTGACCGTCCGTGCGAAACCTGCAGTTTGGGACGCAGTCTACTGTCGCATGTGCAGGTGCGTGCTCATACTCATACTCGCGATGCTGCTCCCGTACGCGACGCACAGCGACTGAGCGTTCTATGTGCCAGGCTTTCCGCCGACGAACAGCCAGGGCAGCGGGATATTCGCCGCCGCCATGAGCGACCTGTCGCCCCTTTGGCAGGGTGCGAAGTGCCAGGGCTCACAGGACGCGAGCAAGTGCAACGGGAGGGGGTCCTGTGTGAACTGCGTCGGACGTGAGTTGCACGCAGGTCAGGCGACACTGTCTCTCACTCGGCTAACGTGCGCGCATAGCGGCGTGCCCTGACGAGGAGCTGTGCGGGACGGTAGGTCTCCTTATACGTATCTTCGCGCAAATTCTTTGACCTTGCGTCGTCTAGTGCTTTAACGTCAGATGTACGTGGACTGGTTGTGCAATGGCTATCAACTGTGCTAACAGGGGACTGTCGCAGGCACCGGCTCCCTCGACGGCGAGACCTCCGGCGCGTGCACCGGAAAGACCATCAAAGTCAAGATCGTCGACGCGTACGTGCACACGCCCTCTTCGTCGTGGGCGTAAACCGAGGCGACCCATTTACTCACCGGCGTTGTTCCCACCAGCTGCCCAGCCACACACCCAGCCAACTTCTGCAAGATCCCTCAGTTCGGCGGCGTACGTTGCTTGTTCTCTGTTATTCCAAGGAACTATACGACTTACGTATTGCGGTGACCTTACTACATTGTTGCGATCTGCAGACAATCCGCCCTATTGAGGCCTGCGAGCAG